TGTGTGTGTGTGTGTGTGTGTGTGTGTGTGTGTGTGTGTGTGTGTGTGTGTGTGTGTAAATTGAATTACGTATATGCACGTATCAATGAAGATTAAGAAAAAAGTTTTTTGCAGATTATCTCTATATTAATAATAATAAAAAATTCAAATATTCTTAAAGTAGTTATTTATAAAATCATATAATCCAGGAAAGCCACTATAATAATACAGTGACGATTTAATATTTGTAACACAAAACATCTATTTAATATAAATAAAAAATTCTAAATTGAAAGACTAGTCGCTTAAAAAATGCCATGCGGATTGTGATAAAACATTACAAATATTATGTGTACAAGTTTACTTAAATTAAACTACATTTAATTAAACCTTTAAAAGTTTTTCTCCGAAAATTTTTATTAATTGTTGAACTTTTGAATACTTACTCAAAATAACAACCAGTAACATCCGTAAGATTAGGATCTAATGCTGCATATAAAACTGTTTGTGCTCCTTGTGCAGGTGCTCTAATAAATGGCCAAATGAATGGTGTTAACAATATTCTTATAAAACCGTTATTAAATACCCACATATGTCGTGTTATCTCTGTATCAACAATACCAGGATGAACAGCATTTACAGTGACACCAGTACCTGAATAAAGAGCGATAGAAGTATGTAAAAGTGATCTTCATAATTCTGAAACTTGCAAAATATATACCAAACTGTACAAACATGATCCTAAATAGCCAACTGAGTGCAAGTTGTTGGCAACTTGCCACAAATACTGCTTATAAAGTTTTTCAGCAATGCAACAAAAGGGGGTATCCTTTTAAATCTAACACAACTCAACATAGTTAAAAAAAATAGTCTTAAATTACCTCTTAATCTATTTGCTAATTCTCTGGTGAAAAGAATATTAGCTAATTTGCTTTGTGCATAAGCACTACCAGGATCATAATCTTTGTTCAAATTTAAATCTTCTGTATTTATTTTGCCTCTACGATGAGCAGTACTTGACAAATTCACAATTCTAGCTGGTGCCGAGTCTTTTAAGATATCTAAAAGTAAATTGGTCAACAAAAAATGTCCCATATGATTGACTCCAAGGTGCATCTCAATACCATCCTTAGTATAACTTTTTGGACACCTCATTACACCAGCATTATTAATAAGAATATCAAGTTTATCATGTTCTGTAAAATAAAAATATGCTAAGGCTGCATTTTCACTATTGTATCATTCAATCTTTTATCTCTCATTAGATTTGAAAGATAGAATGATGCAATAGCACACTCCCTTAATGGCTAAGTAATACATATATTGATGTCAAAAGACAAAATTTTTTAAACATTATATATATATTCACGAACTCATTTATATATGTTAAAGTTACCTTTTTTAAACCGCTCAACAAATCCCCTGATACTCTCTTGAGATGCCAAGTCACACTTTCTACAATAAACATACTTATTTCTTGTACCAAGTACAATATTTCGACGTGTCTGTAAAAAATTATAATATGTAGAAGTGTTAAACAAAATAAGCATTTAAGATAATATGCAATAAGAAAGAATTGCTTAAAGAATATTTAAATAAATTATTCTATAATATGTCTTGTCTTACTGTTTTTTTGTTAAGTAGATACTAATAACAACATCCAAATACCTCTTCACATTTCTTTGAGTCTCTGCATGCCAGGATTACTTTTGCGCCACGTGAAGCTAATACAAGGGCTGTCTCTTTTCCAATACCAGTATTAGCTCCTGTTACAATGACAGTCTTACCAGTCAGATCTTCTTTTCCTTTATACTTGTTACCTCCCATATAATCTCTATGATTTTAATATAGATTTAATTATCACAAAAAAACAAATAGAAAAAAAAAATGACACATAAATGTTTCAATTATTGTATATTATTTAATATTCCTATAATATATATACAATTATTTTATGTATGATATTCGTTAAATGCATTTGTCAAAAAAGTGACTTGACTTTTTTAAAGATAAATGTAAGATAATATAAAAAACACTCAATAAAAGTTTTGAATAATATTACTTTGTCAAATATGCTGCACCGAAAGTAGTTCCAGCCACTGAGATGTAAATAAAAGATCGCGGAACATGTGGAGGCATTTTTACAAATTGTAAATTTATTAACTAAAAATAATTCAAAACAAAGCCACTATTGGTCAATAATGTTAATTTGAGGTGTTCTACAAATACGCGTACACAGGCGACTGGTTACTTTCAGAAACTCAACAGTTACGTAACGGATGATTACTTATGATTGGATCATACTTTTGGAACAGTTACAGTTTTGAAGAATAGTCCTATCACAAGTGATGATCTCTCAACTGTTGAGTTTTATTACGTTCCAAAATCCTACCTTAGTTACTAAAATGCTATATTTTACGTCACGTGTATTATAGTTTTTGGTTACCAAGGTAGGATTTTGGAACGTAATCTAACCCTAACCTAACCCTAACCTAACCTAGCCTAGCAATGTAGGAGTATTACATACATAGACGCACCCTATGATTAGCTTCAACATTAGTGAAAGACACAGAAGTGTGAAATTCTGATAAATATTTACTGATATTATCTGTATATTCTGTTTTTCTCTATTTACATATGTAAATATTATTTCTCATATATACATATATATATACATATATAAATATATATGTATGTATGTATGTACATAAAATATTTTTATACATACAGAATTTATATATATACAGAATGTGTTTTATTAGCAAGTTGAATACTTCGATTTAACAACAAAGTACGTATAATATTTTAAAAAATTGATATTTTTATATAACAATATATTGAATACATATAATTATGTTAACACTTTACATAGCTGGTCAAGTAATGTGGTTCTAGAACAACAAATTATTTTATTCTACACCCTCCTTTATATATATCATAATTATTGATGTGCAACGTGTACAAATCAGTTCAATCAACAACAATGCATGTTAAGATGAAGCTGGAATCCAGTGGAAAAATATTTTCACATTTACTTCTAATAATCTTACTTTTTTATGTAGAAGTAAATGGAAATTATTTTGGAACTAATTCAGATAAAGATGATCAATGTTTCTGTAAGGTATTTTAAATATTTTATATTCAAAATATTTTATTAGTTATTTATTATTTATATTTCCTAAAAGTTTTTTATATATACATAATAATCTTACATATATATATATATATATAAATAGTTATATAATATACTTATATAATATACATTTAAATACTAACATATGTTTATATAAGTTTTGGAAAATTTGCAACTACAGTTTATTTTACTTTTCTAGCTTGTACAAAAATTTTAAATAGATATTATATTGCATTTTTTAATGATATATAATATAAAAAATATGTATATATAATGTATATTGTATAATGTATATTGTAAAAACTGAACTAAAACTAACTAAACTAAAATTGTAGTTGAAAGGATCTATAGATGATTGTACATGTAATGTGGACACTGTGGATTATTTTAATAATATGAGAATATATCCAAGAATTCAAAGTCTTCTAGTAAGAGATTATTTTAGGTTTTATAAAGTAAATTTGAAACAAGACTGTCCATTTTGGGCAGATGATAGCAAGTGTGCTATACGTTATTGTCATGTATTACCATGTCAGGATGTAAGTATTATATATTGAAAACAAAATATTAAAAAAAAAAAAAACTTAACTTCTTATTATATTATTTATGTTTTGTTATAGGATGATATTCCAGAAGGTCTTAAAGGAGAGATTCCACGAAATATTTACTTTAATGAAAGTCCAGTAGATAGATACAAACCTGTCACACAAATTGCTGATTGCAGACAGAGTGCTAAAGATCATAATATAGAACTAGGTTATTTGAATACCACAATTAGGTAATTACAGTACACTTAATGTACTAAGAAAAATTTTGTGTATATAAAGTATATGTATAAATCTCTGATTGTAGTTCCGAAAATTACAAAGAGTTTGAACGATGGCAGCGATATGATGATGCACAAGATAATTTCTGTGTAAAAGAATCTAGTCCTGGAGAATATGTAGATCTCTTACTCAATCCTGAAAGATATACAGGATACAAGGGAGCCAGTGCGCACAGAATATGGCGAAGTATTTATATGGAAAATTGTTTCAGGTACACCTATTGCATAACTATACAATATCATATACATAGACTAACTGTTGTATAACTAGTTATACAATAATTTATTAGTTTATGTATATTTTTATCTAACAGCATTAGCTAAGTTTAATCTCTTGTATAACTATATAATATAATTAAACATAATTATATAATAATTGTTTAATAGTTTTAGGCTGCGTTCGAAAACACTACTTGTGTGTGTACTTTATCTTTATCACTCATTAGATTTATAAAACAAAAATAGAATGACGTTCGTGTCTTCCAACGCAGATCTATGCGATCTAATCTATCATTTATCAAAATAAATGTAAATGTCAGTAGATCTTTATCTCTACTGATATTTACATTTATTTTACATAAATTGAATTCAGAATTTTATATGCAATAAATAATATTATCTATAGGCCTGAAAACTCACCTCACATTTTCATACAATCTTCTAAGATAAATGGCAAGTTTTCTTATATATCTTTGATTTTAATAAAGGCCTTTTATAAAGGCCTTTGTAATTACAAAAGTATTTATCCTGATTATGTGAAATAATTATTGTGCGTGTATGTTTTAGGAATGTGTTTGGAAAAACGAGTTTTTTATCGTGTTATATCCGGTTTACATGCTAGTATTAATATACATTTATGTTCAAAATATTTGTTGGCTTCTCAAGATGGTTTGCAAGTGTCATCGGATAATCAATGGGGTCCCAATTTGGAAGAGTTACGAAGAAGATTTTCGCCCGAAACTACGGGTGGCGAAGGTCCCAATTGGTTAAAAAATTTATATTTTACTTATTTACTTCAATTAAGAGCATTAGCTAAGGCCGCGCCTTACTTAGAAAGAGAAGAATATTATACAGGCAATGAAATTAATGATAAGGATACGAGATTAGCAATGAACGATATATTAAATGTTGTTAGGTAAGTATTTTACATTTGTTTTTTCCATTCTTTTTTTTAAAAGTATTCAAATTTATATATAATATATTTTACAATATAATTTTATTATATTTTAGATCATTTTCAGAACATTTTAATGAAACGGTTATGTTTACTGGTGGTACAGAAGCACAATTACTGAAAGAAGAGTTCAGACAACATTTTATAAATATCTCACGTATTATGGATTGTGTGGGATGCGACAAATGTAAATTATGGGGCAAATTGCAGATACATGGCTTGGGAACTGCACTAAAAATATTATTCTCAGGAAAATTTGATAAATGGGAATCAACACTTAACAATCTCACTCGAAAATCATTTTTTTTGGAAAGAAGTGAAATTGTTGCTTTAGTAAATGCTTTTGGAAGGTAAAATTACATATATTTAATATATATTTATTTAAATAGAAAAAATTTAATTTTTTTATTAACGTAATCAATTTTTACAGATTATCGGAGAGTATTTTTGAATTAGACAGATTTCGTGCAATGATGAGATAAAACATCAACTTATATAATAAGAGATTTTCCAGTGAAACATTGCATAAATACATCACACTTAGATTTTCTAGATTATTTGTTTTTTTTTTTGTTTTAGTGGAAAGGAATTTTCACTTAATCTAATTAAATGTTTTTTATAATAAGTTTTTGACATTAAATATTTACATAAATAATGAGCATCAATAGTCGTATTTTATATTGAGTTATATATCTATATAATTATATAATTATATGCGCACACGCGCACATTTTACACCGTACGATCAGACACGGTACAAATTGGGGCACGTTCCAAAATCCTACTCTGGTTACTAAAATGCTATATTTTACGTCACGTGTACTATAGTTTTCGGTTACCAAGGTAAGATTTTGGAACATACCCCAGTTCAGGGAAAAAAAACAAACTTAAAGTCTTCCCACAGCCATTGGTTGTAATCAAGTGTTCCGTCAATCCCGCAACGCTATCTCTACTTTGCTCTCTTTTTCTTTTCCCTATGGGCAGTAAAATTCTCTTCTCACATTGAACGCAGTATAGTCATACATTTCATGCGTGAAACGGAACGCACTTGTTGGCATATACTTTCGTATGTCAAATAGATTTACAGGAAGAAGCCAATCATAGACAATAAGCGCAAAGCGCTTGACAAGCGCGGAGTTCCGCTGAACGTGGTCAACGAATCAGAATGATTTGCACCAACTACACAGACTGGCGTATGGACCAACCGAATGGTCTATATAGCCATAACTGCAAGGAAGAAAAAAAGACGAGTCTTCAGCAACAGAATCTCTATCACTAGCGTTGTTACCAATCATTTGGTTGTTTGTCTCAGTTTGACAGATCTACGCACAGATAAACATGCATTAAATTGATAGTTAATATGCAATAATATCATAGTAAAAACCAAAACAATAATTTCCTTTTGCGTCATGGGTAAGTTTATTAACTGCCTGCCTGAACCATTTTTTTTTTTATAATTAGATAATTGTGTGTGTTCATTTTATATCTTACATTTTAGAGAATTCTATGGAAGCACAAAAGTGGCAGCAGCATCTCTCACTGCTACGAGAACAATACGTTAATTTGTACAATTCTAATATAGAACTTCAAAAGGAATATGCAATTCTTACAGCCGAAAAACAGGAAGGTGGATTTGTTAGTAGACTTCTGGCAACAATAGCATCATTGTATTGTCAGCATCGTTATAGGTATTTTACCAAACGAGTAAACTAAAATATTTAATTTTTATATATTATTAAAACTGATATTTATCAAATAAAGCAATTCTTGTAAATTATATATATATTTCTGTAAATTATATATGTTTTAGTGATGTCACTATAAAACTTGTTAATCAAGACGTACCAGCACACAAATTTATATTGTCTGCCAGAAGTGATTTCTTCAGTGATACAGCTCTTGTTGAAAAGACTGTTTTAGGTAATGGTTTTAAGTGCTGTAAATTTATTTTTTTTTTTTATTTATTGTTATTTTTTTATTGATATTTATTGTTACCTTTGTGTTGTTATTACAATATTATATATTTTTATTGTGATTGTTTTTAGATTGGAGCAATTTGAATAGCACAGTTGCAATGATACTATTAAAATGGATTTACACAGGCAAGGTGTCTCAAGAAAACTTAACTTTAGATTTAATGAAAGCAGCTGCTGGCTTTCAGTTAGTAGAACTAGTAGATCAGTGTGAAAGATATTTGATTGGAATTGTGGGATTGAAAGATTGTGTGATATTATATGCAGCAGCTGAAGAACTAGGCACCGTAAAATTAAAGGAGCATTGCAGTTCTTTAATTTCTGCACATTGGGTAAGTTTGCAACAATAACATACCTGACAATTGTATGTTGACTGACAAAAATTATTGCCGAGTGTTTAATTTTTTATGATTTTTATATATGCTGTAGGAAGATTTAACAGGCGAAGATTTCAAAGAGATGCCAGGATCTCTGCTTTATAAATTACTGCAAACTAAAAGTAAATATCCTTTGCATGCAGCCGTACGTTTGATGCGTGAAGATGTTGTATTTCTGTATTTGGTAGAAAAGAATGCAGAGGTAAGTTTTGTTCTCTATTTATTTTTTATTGTTTTTTTAAGTTGATGGATCAGGTGCGATGCATATTAGATACAGCAAAAAATGTGTTTGTTTTATTTTTGTGTTATATATTACTTCTTTAGTATGTATTTTCTATCTTCCAACTTTTACGGCAGCGGCCTAAGTTAGCGGTTGGAGCAATTATAAACCAACCCCCCTAAGCCTATCCACACACACCTCCCTCCCCCGTTCTAAACTTATCCGTTTAGGACGTCTGTTTCCAGTACAAATTTTTACATTTTTTCCCCATCCTCACCTATTTAATATACACAAAATATATGATATTTGTTACAAATACTAATAATAATAATAATATTTAATAATTATAATAATTATAATAATATAATAATAATAATAATAATTTCTATAATCTCAGAAAAAATTATTTTATTTGCATAAGATACTTTTCTTTAAGTAAAATGTTTCATATAGTTTCAGTGTCACAAGTTAAACAGTTAATTTTACAACAATCTTATAAATAATATTAATAATATTCCATATATCTCGTTAAGCATTCTAATTGGTAAAGTTGATGAGTTACATAAGTGAAAGCTACAGAAACAATATTCCGGTGGATTCGTTGGTGCTCCTCTGTGTTCACCAACAAAGCAACCTTCATCATAAGCACTTGTTATGACTTCTTCTTTTTTGTGCCATTTTCTTTCAATATCATTGTATGTATGCGAAATATATTTTTGTGGTGCACAGTCTCTCTGAACAGAAGTTACTACAGTTGCTGAAAAAAAAAAATTTTTTAAATAATTATACAGTCAATTTTATTTCAACACTTTGCAGATACACTTTATTTTAGAAATATATTGTCTGCATACTTTTATTATACTTGTACTCGATAGTTCTCTTCATACAGAGTGTTGAGCTTGGACAAAATACTTGAAATTTTTCACTCCCATCAAAATGAGAACAAAGCAGATCCATTTCTTCCTGCTTTGTGAACGATACGAAGCATTTGAAACATGAAATACCTTCTGCCTGTACTCTTAAAACATCTACAAGTTAATAAATTATGCATAATTTTATATATAGGTGTCAACAAGAAAAAAACTTTTTACTTTTGACGTTTCTACATTAAGAAAAACGTTATAACATATTAATAATGTAGAGAAAATAAGAGAAAAACACATACATGATAAAATATGAAGATATAACGTTATAATTTGTAAATTTTGCTTGAAGTTGTTCATTTTGTTTATAAGATTCCCTGTAAATCCATCAAGAAGGTATTATTTCAACAATATAAAATATTTATTTTTCTAAATTAACGTAGCAGTATTAATGTGCAAATCTGAAACGAATCACTTAACACATTTAGTATATTTGATATACATATATACACACATACAAACTTATATATATTTTAACCTATGTTTTAAATATTTCACAAAATCTTCAAAAAAGTCTTTTATACACATGTTAATATCACAAAATAATTTTATATACAAAGTTGAACAGATTATTTCTGTGACTAAAGTTACATAAAAAAGATTCTGTTTTTCTTATGGATCTGTACAAAAAACCATATTTAAAACCATTTACGTATTTGAAATTTTGTAATTAAAAAATTACTCTCTTACAAAAAAACTCTTTATAATTAACTAAATATATTTTTTCGTATATTTTATAGTTTATTATTTTTGTTATGCAAATGAGAATTTTTCTATGACAGTACGTAAAATTTATTTTTAACAGTTCTAAAAGTAGAGGAGAACAGGATAACGACGCTCATTTAAGAAAATTTTAATATCTTCATGTTAAATTAGTTTTTCATCAAATGTATCTTTTTTTTAGGTACTCATAATACTGCATTATTTTAGATAAATTATTTATATCAAACAAGACATTGATAAAAGTTAATACATATTATTTTGTGGAATTCTTATAATTAAGACAATCGGTTCGGTCCGCTGAGCATCGTGACCCCGTTTTTCCTTAATATTTTTAAATATTTCAACTAATATATATATATTAGTTTTTTCAAATAATAGTTGAAATATCTCTCTTTTGTTATATGTTTTTTTTTATCGGGTATATTTATATAACTCTTTTTATCTAACTTATCTACTTCGTCAGTAGCTCGTGGTATTTTCTGTATATATAGTATTATATATAGTAAAAACACATGTGCACATGTATACACAGATAATGAGAGACGTGATACTAGAGATAGATAACACTCACCTACTAACGTTAAACTTTTGCGAAATGGATTATGACACCTTTCTTGGCGAAATATTCGTGTATAACTTTAGCACAATTTTCTCGCATAAAAATATATGTAGCCATTTCATAACAGTTTGTGGGTGGTTGGGCGTATCATCGGCCACGTCATACGACGTTCTTTAACGCTCCCGCGTTCTTTGTGTATATATCAGAAAATAATCTCCATACTTCCTCTGAAAGCGCTTTTTCACGCGATGCCATTCTATCGACGTGGCCATTACACATTTGCACGCACGCATACATGCGCACGTATTGTGCGGTCCGTCACACACACATGTATTTATAGCAGTGGTTCTTACACAATCTCAGATATATAATTAATCAGTAAAATAACAATTACAGCAAAGTTGTAACAATTTTTCAATTTTTTTTACTATTGTCTGTGTGTATATTTTTAACAAATTAAGTATAGTAATTTTATAGTATTTAAATATAGTAAAATTTATATTTAAAACAATTTATATATTTATATAAATTTTATATATAGCGTATATAATAAAATTTATTTGACAAAAAACACTTTATCCTCTTTAGCAGAATATAATTGACAAGTACTATTATCTTAATTTTCTTAATTAAAGAATTTTTTTTAATTAAAAAAAATTTTTTTTTACGTCTTATTATCTTTTCTGATAATATTGTATGTTATTTATTTTGTAGCTTCCAAAAGCGGTAAATGCTGTCGATCACAAAGGAGAACTGGCTCTAGAAATTGCTCTGAAAACTCGCCAGCCATCTCTGGCTCGCACATTAGTCGAACACGGAGCAGATTTAAGCGCAAAGGATGCAAGAGGTCTTTCTCTTCTTCATTCAGCTATTCTGAAAGGGGATTCTTATTCGGCCGAATTCATAATCGATCAATTAGAAAACAACGGTAATATGCAGAAGTTATGCGAGGCTGTAAAAATCATGGATAGCGCGGACAATTCAGCTGATCTCAAACAGTTGGAAGGTTGTACCGCGTTGCATCTGGTAACGAAGCATAATGTAGAGAATATGCTAGCAATTGGCTCAAGATTACTCCAAGCAGGAATTGATCCTAATTTGCAAGATCGTAGAGGATGGTAAAACAATTTGTGTTTCACATCATTTTAAAACTTAAAAATTTAAGACCTCTATAAGAAGCTAAATAACGGTTGAGAAATAAAATTTAATAATTTCTATAAAACTGTCATGCTAGATATTATGAAATGTTATTTAAAAAAAATGAGAAAAAAATTCTGCTATATATATATATATATTCTTGATCTATTGAATTATTTGTTCTTACCAGGACTGCGCTTCACTGCTGTATCTTAGAGAAAAACGAGATGCTGTTTAATTTGCTATTGGAGGCGAAAAATATTGATGTAGACCAAACCACAAATGAGGACGATACACCGTTGTGTTTTGCGATGAAGACGGTTCCTTTTAACGAGTACTTTGCATCAAAATTATTAGCTAAAGGCGCTATACCGAATCCAATCTACAACACCACCGGAGACACATTGCTTCATATCCTAACGCGCGAACGTAGAGAAGAAGCGGCATTATTTTTAGTGGAATACTGTAAAAATAATTTAACGAAAACCAACAACGAAGGTTTTACGATATTACACGAAGCGTGCAAAGTTGGTTTAAAAGATCTGACTCGGGCTTTCTTGAAGAACGGACTGTCGACTGACGCGGTCACGTTTAATGGCGATGCGCCGATTCATTTAGCTATTTCGAATCTCTATACCGATATAGTTGCCGAGTTACTTGATGCTCCTGATGTAAATTTACAATTGACTATTAAGAACAATTTAAACGAAACACCTTTGAACCTGGCTATAAAAGCGCCATTTAAAAAGGGCAAAGATATCGTATTGGCTCTGATCAAAGCCGGAGCTGATGTAAATGAACGCAACGAGGAAGGTTTGACGTTGTTGCATCAAGCGATATTGAAGGAAGATTCAGCTACGGCAATATTTCTATTAGAAAACAACGCTGATATGAACATAAAGTAAGTTTAAACAAAATATCTACAAGATTTTTTTTTTTTATAATTGATAATATGTTTTCCATTATATAATGTAATAATATGACTCGTATTGTCGACACAGAACAGCCAATGGAGAAACGCCGTTGCAATTGTGCGTACATTGTAGACTGGGCGAAGTAGTGGAAGCTCTTTGTAGACGAGGTGTAGATACCTCAATAGGATGCCCGTTATGGGATGCTTTGGACTCAGAGCAAGAAGACGTAGCATCAATTCTTGTTAAGTACGGGGCTGATACTGATTGTTGGGGTCCTGGTCCAGATGGTTGTCAGCAAACATTACTACACAGAGCAATCGATGATAACAAAGAGGATATCGCACAGTTTTTGATCAGAAGGTACAAAGATCCAAGTCATTCAGTCAAAGAGACTATATATAAATTTGATTTCTAAAAAAACATTATTTAAAATATTAGTAAATATTTTTATTTTTTTTTATTTTATCATTAGTGGATGTGATTTGAATGCTCCGAGACGACTCGGTCCAGATGGTGGTGGCGGAGACGAGGCGAAAGATGAATGTACACCCTTGCATTTGTGTTGTCAATGGGGACTGGAACAAGTTGTTCAAACGCTAATCGAGCACGGAGCCGATGTAAATGCTCGTGATGCAGAAGGAAAGACTCCGGTACATGTGGCAATACAGAACCAACATTCACAAATCATTTCCCTTTTGTTGTGCCACCCAAATATAGATCTGAACAAAAGAGACAAAAAAGGACTGACGCCGTTTGCTACTGCTCTGACAGTTCGCAACAACAAAGCCGCACAAGCAATATTGGAGAGATTACCTAAGGCCGCTGAACAATACGACAACAAAGGCAGAAATTTCTTGCACACTGCCATACAGAAGAACGACATGGAGAGCATATTGTTCTTACTGTCGATACAAGTATTTGATTTAATTTACATGAAACAAAATTATAACATAAACTTAAATGTAAAATTGCTATTTTTGCAGTAGATCATTTTTTTTTTCTCAGGTAGACGTAAATTCGAGAATACGCGATGTTACACAAACGCCACCTTTACATCTTGCCGCTGTATCTGGAAATGAAATGTTGGTGCGAAGCTTGATCTTGGCAGGTGCCCGTGTCAACGATACAGACGCGAACAGAAACAGCGCGCTGCATGTGGCAGCTAAAGAAGGTCATGCTGCCGTTGTTTCCGCGCTATTGCAAGTATGATTAATTAAAACAAGTCAAATCTCTTTAACTTTTTTGCTTCTCATATTACTTAATATCTTATGTAAAAAACTTATTATTAATTGCACACAGAATAATATTAATTTTGATGCGGTAAATGCGGACGGCGATAATGCACTGCACGTAGCTGTGAGAGAAGGTCATGTGTCGGTTGTACGGACTTTATTAACCGAATGTACGCTGGATGCGGAAGCTGTGAATTTAAAAGGACGTAATCCTCTGCACGAACTGGCTAGATGTGCGAGGGACAACGCCGCGACGATATGTGATCTATTTTTGGAATGTATGTCGCAATATCCAGTTAACAATGCAGGTACGTGTGTGCGAAGTATAAATATTAAAATTACAAAAAAAAAATAAGTACATTTCTTTTGAAAAGAACTAAATCGTACCTACAATTGAATACATATACTTTATCGTATGTAATTTTATTTTAGATTTGGATGGAAACACACCATTGTTGATCGCGTATATGAAAGGTAACAGTAATCTTTGTAAAACATTAGTCAAAGCCGGAGCGTGCCTAGGTTCGATGAACAAAGACGGGATAACAATTTTTAACTATCAAGTACCAACAAAACAGCTACTGTATAGATTATTAGATTCTTTAACGCAAGAAGCACCGTGGTCCGACAAGGATTGCTGCTTGGAATGTGGAACAAAATTCTCTCTTACGATGCGTAAGCATCACTGTCGACACTGCGGACGAATTTTGTGCAGCAAGTGTTCTGGTCAGGATGTACCAATCCTGAAATTCGGTTTAAATAAACCAGTACGTGTATGTAATGTATGCTTTGATGTGTTGCTGGGTACAGACTGAATAGAATCTTTGCAGTAAGAGTTTATATATATATATATATATATGTATTTACACTGTTCAACGAGAGAATTATCATCGGTCTGCGCATATGGGAAAGCGGATAAAATAAAAACGCGCGGGACATCCGCTGGCAGTTAATGGCAACTGCGCGAGCAGCACTGGAATGGCTTTCTAGTAAGAGATATGCACAAAATGGAGGAGTTTTTGTCCGCTTTTATGATATTCTCTCGTTAAACTCTGTAGCGTGTGTGTGTGTACACGCGCGCACATGCACATGCATATATTAAATTAGACACTAAAAGATCATTCCGATGTTTTTTACATTAAAAAAAAAAATATATATAAATTGAATTAAAACTCTATATACTAATTGACATATATGCCTTCACCTTTTGAGATCAGAATTATTTTTGTAGTTATTGCTTTGTTTCTGAATATTCGACGATAGAATCAAAGCACTCCCAAACATTGTTCTTTCAGACAACTATGTGATCAGATATTACATAAAGCATTCAGAAACATACAACAACTGACAATGAGTAAATTTTGATAATTCTTGATCTCGAAAGGTAGCGGCATATGTACAGATTAATATACATTATTGATTATTTTATGTATTCTATCATAATATATAATGTTACACTTTGTTGAGATTATCTTAGTTGTAGGGTTGAAATATAAGTGAAAACGAAAAAACCTAACTCTATGTGATATTAATCTAAGTTTATTTTTATTACTAATATTTTATCATATATACAATTCTTGAAAGAAATCAAGATTTTGCCATTGCAAGTAGTCAGGTTTTTTTTTTTTTTTTTAATGGAAATATTTTAGATTTATTTAAGTTTGCTAAAGAGCGTCTTTGCAACACAATGATCTACGCATTCTACATAATCAATAAGCTCTTCTAAACAAGTTTCTTCTGTTTTAGTTCTTGAATTAACACGATCGTTGCATGTGTTCAATTTCTCTTGTAAATTAGTGCATTTTGCTTGTTGAGAACATGTTTCCTGCAATTAAGCAAATAATATTAAATATTATTAAAAATCGAAAAAAGTATCAAAAAATATTAAAAAATTTGACTATAAACATAACAATTTTTCTTTAAGATCTATGTAGGCAATTCAAAGAACTTGGTTGAAGAGATAGAAGTTATTGAAATTTGGACATGGAAATAGAAAACTTTCATGAAAATCAGTAATTTATTCAAGTGATAAATGGGTTTTTGTTTAAGAACTTAGAAGAATTTTAACCACATTTATCTTGTAAGGATAAACAGGCTTTTACAAAAAAACTTTTACTTTCCTTTAAAGTATTCTCTTCAACAGAACAGTAAAGTATGTATAAACTTACATTTGTACTCATAATGTGTGTATACATTTGAATACATACATTTGAATTTAACCTGAGAATAATTGCGTCTTAAATTAGAATAGTAACACAAGTAAAATACGTATTACTTAACTTTAAAATCATTTGTTATCAATCAACAAAATTATTGACAAACAATATATCGGTAACAAGATATATTGCGTATTAAGAATTGTTTAATTTATCAGTACTCAATTGACAATTCTCGATAGAAATTTTGTTACTATTTTTCTGGTTTGATTTAAAAAAAAAATGAAAAATATACGGATGTACTTTTTATATCGCTATGACAATGTATATCTTGCACGATTATTCTCGAGTTAAATCAATTTTAGCAAATAGAAATTTCTTTACTTTCGAAAACTTTAAATCAAAATATAACATTATGTAATATGTGAAAAGATGTATTACACGAAGTTTTGTCTGCGGATCTACCAATTCTTCTTCGCCCTCATCAGCCTTAACGGCTGGCAAATAACGTTTGAAGAAATCCTGGATGATTGACATTTTTTTTGATGAAAAATCTTGATACGCTCAACTGGCACGTACCTACTTATCGTTATATGCTTTTCTTATCGATTGTGACTTGTGGTGATGTGATATGCGAATATTGTTATAAGGTGTGCTCGTTCTCGAAGGCAATTTTCGTCCGGTTCTGAGCGCAAGAACACACCTTGCGCTCGATTCAATCAGAGAAGAGAATTTTACTGCGAATAGTAGAAAAGCGGGCAAAATAGAAATAATGTTGCGTGCGGGATTGGTGGAACACTTGCTGATAGCCAATGGCTATAGAGTAAGAAGACTTTAAGAGAGGTGCGCAAAACGGACGAGTTTTTTTGTTTATCCGGTTTCTCTTCTCAATTTGAACGCAGTATAGAATGACCTTGGAATGGCATATGGACTAGCTTAATACGGTTCCTGTGTGTCAAATCTGGGGGCCGATTCTGTACTACGCAGTGTGAAAATGACAAAAGTGAGCGAATTCTCACTAAAATATCTATGATCTTATTGGTCAACAACTAGTAAATTTGCTCACTTTTGTCATTTTCACTACCCCCTCCCTGCACACCAAACTAAACCTAAAAAAGTTTAGTTCAGTCTCAGTTCTGTTTATTAAATAAAAAGTAACTTTATTCAGTGGTTCTGTTACACTACCAAAATAAATAAAGAGTATCTTTATTCAGTGGTTCTGTTACACTACCAACCGAGACATGAATTGTTCAGATATTATTAAAAGTACGATGTCTTTAAAACAAAGAACTCACAAAATACCCGGAGACATACTCCCATCTCTCAACAAAACAGAAGGTCAAGGCTATATTGACAGTTTAGAAAAGAAACAAAAGTTTCAATTGGAAGAACTTTTAGAAAGGCAGAATAAAATTCTTGCCAATAAGTAGGTAAATATTAAACCATTCCAATATTCTAGATCCTTTACTCATGTCATACTTACTTAGGAAATTTCTATCAAAACTTCCTGACAAAGGAGAGAAAATTAAAAGCTTTCGCGATGAGATATTGAAAGAAATAGAACATAGGAATGAGGTGGAAAAAGCAGCTAACTTATTATCAAGATTAAATATTGCATCCGAAGGCAAAACAGCTGTTACCAAATTAGAATGGACAGGAAAGTTTACCGATAAGAATGATGACGAGACAAGCAATGTTGTTGAATTAGACAGTGATAATGAAGATCCATTGAGAATATTAGCTCAGGTATCAAAATATATATTTATAAATTTATTCCATATATATATATTATAATAATAATTTACAGTAATAATTTTTATTGATTGCTATAATTTATTGTTTGTACTTTATACAGCCTACAGGAAGTGGTGTTCACAAAAAAAAAATCGTACACATAGCATCTGAGAGTCTTATTAAACCAGAAGATATAGCAGAAATAGAATCTTTTAAAACAGATTCTTCAAATGTGGAGCATGTAAAATATATTATAGACAAAGTAGAGAATACAGAAGAAGTGAAAAAACCAAAGTCATTTAAGCCATACAAGACAACTAAAAGTGACGTGCATGATCCAGCAAAAGAGAAACAAAGAAAATTGCCTAAAAATTGGGAAGTCACAGCAGCTACTCCTCCTTTGATAGTTCACGGAGCAGCAAAAGTTTTGAGTCTAACTGAATCTCTACAATTGCAGAAAGAACAAACTGAAAAATTCTATGTACGCTTGTCTCTTAGCATTTCTCTTGATTTTAATAACAAAAAATTACTATATATTTGTACGAACTAATCTATATCTAAATTTATATATTTGTTATGTTTACAGAAAATTCAAGCAAAACACGCAATAGAACGTCTAACCAATCAAATATTACACAACAGTGGTTGTGTTATACCACAAAATGCGGAAAATTACTGTTTACACCAACATATGAATGGTTCATCTTCATCTTCCAAAAATGAGGAAGAACATGAAATATATGACGAAGAAGATAATGATAAGGATAGAACAGTTGTGTATATTACTGAGTCTACAGAAAGTTAACACAGACTTATATAATTATTATTATTATTTTGTACATACGAACATATGAACAACTAATGTATTGGTGAGAATACTAATAATAATAATAATAATAATTTTTTCAGTCAAAAACGAAACAGTATAAAAATTGCTTTTGGTAGAATTCTACTTTTTTGGATTTAATAAACAATTATATCAATAGAAGTAGGCAGTATATAAAGTAAGAGTTAAGGTTCGGCCTTTTTACTACCTTCATTGTCACACTACAAATTAGGATTGAGATTAGATTGCAATTTGACCAATCAGAGCGAAGATCACTAAACTCGAAAGAATTGATTTTCTTTCCTCTGATTGGTCAAATTTCAATCCAATCTCAATCTGAATTTTTAGTGTGACGTAGGCTTAAGGCTGCCTTTACATGCGGCGTAACTTGCGTGAGCCAATCATATCGTCTCAGCGTGTTGCGTATGATAGCTTTACTACCTTTATTGTAGACTGGCTCTAAGATGGCAACACTATTTAGCAAAAATTAATTTCAATGTTGGTTATTCTGCGGGGTAGAAATATTTTCAGGAAGTAGAGCTCGCACGTTTCTTGGTCGTTCTTTTCCGGAAGGCTATCAAGATGACGGGTTTCAGCGAGAAGGTGTGTAGTTAAATTTTTGATATTTTATATGATTTCAAGTCATCTTCTTATCCATAATTTACGTGCAATCGTAGTTGCGTTTAACATGAGATATAATATATGTTATTTAATAAGTTAAACAAAAATGTGAGTACTTTTTAGCTCAGCACGTGTTTCAGACACGGCGTCTATTCTAGAAATTCGACACACAGTAAATAATTATAAATTTTATATATATAAATATTTTTGTCTTCTAAATATAATAGTTTTGAATCTTTAAATGTTTAACACGCGCAAGTATTAATGAAATGTTAGATTTCTGAATTACACGTTTATTGAGTTTTGCAAAGATTGTGAATAATTACATCCATGCAATATTTTCTTATTTATTGCTTTATATATTTACGATTCTAGCCAATTTTAATAGATGGTCGTGGTCACCTACTTGGACGGTTGGCTGCTATTGTTGCCAAGACAATTTTGCAAGGCAACAAAGTTATTGTTATACGCAGTGAACAACTAAATATAAGTGGCAATTTCTTCAGGTTTGTGAAGTTTCATTGCTTGCAAATGTCTGACAGGATAAAATTTTCTTGGATTGAGTAGTTTTTTTTGTAAAACTTAATATTTTGTGTATATATATATGGATGTGCACATAAATCGTGGGTGCTTTCCAACTACGTACACAGGCAACACTGCTTAACACAGTGTCTACTAGTATGAGTAAGACACTGACATGCTCTTTCTTACATTAATAGACACTGTTACACAGTCTGTGTACATAGCTGGAAAGCACTTCACTTAACACATAGTTGTACTATAAAACTTACAGTTGAATGCTTCTATTTTTAACAAGGTGAAATCTTAATCATTTTGTATGTACATTTTGGACTGTAAATTAAATTTTAATTATCAAAATATTAAGTTAATAAAGTTTAATTAAAAATTTATAAAATTAATTTGATATAAAAGTCATATTGTATTGCAACATAGAATAGATAATTTTGCACTTGGTATTATATACACATATTTATTTTTATTTTTAGGAACAAGTTAAAATATATGTCTTTTCTTCGCAAGAGGTGTAATGTTAATCCTGCGCGTGGTCCATTCCACTTTCGTGCACCAAGTAAAATCTTCTGGAAAACAGTGCGTGGTATGTGTAACTAAGATTTTATATTGATACATTAGCAAACAATATTTTGATATGATTACTTACAACCTACATTATTTGATGATAATGAAAATAAAAATTTATATGATATTCTTTATTTTGCCAATATCTTGCAATATGTTGTTAAATATAAAAAATCTAAAAAGTGTTCTTGCATAGGTATGATCCCACATAAGACACAGAGAGGAAAAGATGCTCTTAGACGATTAAAAGTATATGAAGGATGTCCTCCGCCATATGATCGCAGAAAGCATCTTGTTGTACCTGGTGCTATGAGAGTAATGTGTCTTAAACCAGGCAGAAAGGTGAAACATAATATATTTTATATTACATTTGTTTATTCATTTGGTCTTACACATTTCTTGAAAAAACAATGATGGAATGGTAATTTGCGTCTGAAATAATGATGTCACTCTTAACTGAGTTCTGCAATTAAAAAAAAAAAAACTATATGATATTGCGCAATATGGATATGTATATTTAATGGTTTCAAATTTTTAGTATTGCCATGTAGGCAGATTGTCTCACGAAGTTGGATGGAAATACAAGGCTGTAGTTCGCACTTTGGAGAACAAAAGACGTGTCCGTTCTATTCTTGAAGTTCAAAGAAGGAATAAACTTAAGGTAAATAAGCAAATATTTAATATTGGTAAAACAATCTCTTATTTTAGATCTTTGCAAAATATTTTATTGTTATGTATATTTAAAATTTCTCTATATTTCTTTAATTATCTTGAATTTTGATGTTGGAAGCGAAGAAATGAGTGCTGCAACTTGATAAAAATTAAATAACATTTTTGCACCAACTCACTTTTAATCAATGAAACACAACAACGTCACACGTTACAAATGCTTCATTTGAGTTGAAGTCGATTTTCTTGATACGATTTCGTTATTAAATCAAAAAAAAGTTGCTATTAACCAAAAGAAGACTGTCCGATATAGTTTTCAAATGTGCTCCATTGATTGAAAATGATTTTATGTGCGAAAATATTCTTATTTTCACATAAGTGACAGTAAATTATTTTCTTGTCTCTAATATTAAAGTTTAAGATAGATACGAAAATATCGAGGAGAACACTGAAGATTAAATAAAGTTACAAGTGATTACTATTTTTCTTTTTCACTGTAATTGACACTAAAATAGAATAATTGTGAACACTGACAACATATTCATATACCATTCGGTTTTTTTAATGTAATATACATGAAGATATTTCAATATTTCATTAACATTGCATTATTTCTTTTACAGAAACTTACCAAGCAAGCAGGTGAAGCTGTTGCTAAATCCACAGCGCCGTACACAGCTATCATCAATAGCTTTGGATACAACTAACATACTTGTTGTAAAAACAACCAATGAAGTTTCTTATAAATACATTTTGATTAAAATATTAAATTAAAAGGAATTCTTAAACTAAATTCTTCCACTTGTGAACTTAGAGAAATATACTTCAGACACTCAAGAGTGAAATTCATGTATCTCCATTTTCTTTTATAAACAAAATTTTATTAATTTTTTTTTACAGCAATTTTATGGTAATAATTATCTTGATAAATAACTGACGCTGTACTAACTGTATTTAACCGGTTACACGCAGTGTGTAGTATAAATTTCAAATCAGAAAAAGCGTGTGCAAATAATCAGAATCGATTCTATCGATCTTGATTGTTGCTTCTTTTCCGCGACGCCGATCTTGGACGTCTCGGTGACGTTTCTCTGATGTGTTTCTTGATTTATGTCGTACTGTCGTACTAGCTGTCATCGCGGTGACATGTGTCCGCTGACGGAATACGTTAAAATAAAAATAATAGCGTGCGCCTGTGTTGTGCTAGTCTTGTAATAAAAATGGTACGCTATATTCATGTCGGGAAGATTAAGGATTTGAGCGCAATAGAGAAAATATTAGGGATAGAAATTAAAGATAAGTTAAATGTAATGTACAATGAGAAAAAATACAATATAACATGTAAATGTGTATAAATATAGGCTGTATATCATGCAGCCATGACATACTTCCTGTATTTATATGTTATTATATTTTATTGTTTGTTATTGCACATACGCGTATGATTGTAGCATATGTAACATGTACTATGGGTAAGTGGGCGAAAAGGAACGCATGCTAGACGTGCTGCTTTTTTGTGCAGTAAAGTACAATGAATTTAATGAGAGAAAATAATCGGTCTAGTGAAGAAAAGCGATCAAAGTGGAGACAATGGCCACGTTCAGCAGACTGAGCAGATCAGTGAACGCTTGAGTGATTCCTTAATATGATTGAATCTTGCCTTTAGATCTTAATTGGATCTAAGTGTAGAAACTAATCATATTGAAGAATCACTAATCGCTCACTGATCTGCTCAGTCTGCTGAACACGGTCAATGTCACGTATGGAACATACCGCTGGCAGCCAATGTGGCTGTGGAGTGGAGAGAATTTCTTGTAGAGGAGTTTGCGCAAAACGAGCGCAAACAGACAAGACGCGGCAACGCGTTAAGGTCTATCTACATAAGACGCAGGTTGCAACCTAACCTAACCTAACCTCTGATCCCGCAAAATTGACCACGTTTGTCAAATTAGCCAATCTACACTACGTGATTGGTCAATTCCTAGGTAAGGAATTGGCCAATGTAGAATGACCTTTAAGGTTTTTGTTCATCCGATTTCTCTTCTCAAATTGAATGCAGAAGCACAACGAGCGGTATCCCGTTTGATCGCGGTACAGAGAAGAGTGCATCATATCGCGCAGTTCCGGAGCAAGTATTTCTCGGAAATTTCTCCTCCGTCTGTTCAACCGTTGGATCTTCTGAAACGTAACTATTGATCAAATTAATCAATTAACCCACGTAATTGGTCAATTCCACGAGATCTGTACTCGCGTCTCTCGCTTGATGTAAAATGGGCTTTACGTGCGGCGATTGGGGCGACAGAGTGGGGGAAAGGGAAGTGGCGTCTGGTATTGAGAACGATGATTGTCTCTGCGACTTGGCGTGTGAACCCCGTTTTGTTGCCGTTGTTGCTACGAGGCTACGGGAGCGTTCTCTTCGGTTTGGGACAGCGTTCAATTCGGCCATTAATTTCGGAGCTTTCGTATAGTGAAGATAAACGTATATACGTATTTCATTAGTGATCGAATTGATCACAAAACGCGTCCAGGTGAGTAAGACTAAGCAAAATTATCTCCCCTTTAATAAATATTTCTCATTATCGACCGTAAAAATACGCGTCCTAGTCTAAATATTGCGGGGAAATCACTTCGATGTGAGACAAAACGAGAAGCACACCCGCATCGGAGAGATACAACTTCGCCAGCTCGTGTGTTTGACTCTCTTTGTAAAATCGTGCGATCCCCGATTCTCGCACCGCGTATAAAATTTTATTTCGTGTAGTTCGACAAGTCCGTTATTATCGCTAGCAGCGAGGATTGTTTTTTTTTTGCGACGACGAAACGTGCTTTCGGACTAAAAAAAAAAAAAAAATTAAAGCAGGCGTGTTTTGCGTGTTCGGTTGATTTTCGATTACTCCGAGAATGAGGAAATTTCTCCGCCATTATCGCGACTCGAAGATTTTACTCGCGACGCAATTAAATGACTCGTCTCTATATCGATTCATACCGGTTTCCAACGTTCATGGCGACCAAAAGATTTTTTAAGCAAAATGGCTTAGAACGCTCTGAAAGTTTTTCTAGAAATTTTTATTGAGACGCAACGCGCGTATAATTTTTCAGCATTGCGCAATTTTCTTTTCCAAGTATGTGTCACCGCTTTTGTCGGTTAGCGTTGACTCTCATAGATAAAGGTTGGTTAATATGATAAAATCCATATTTCGTAACGTGTGACATGGAATATAAATTTCTACCAAAAAAAAAAAAAAAAAAAATATTAATTTTACTTTAATTGTAAAAATTTAAGTCGTAAAAATATCTAGCAGTGTAGAAAGTAAAAAAACAAATATATGTTTACGAGACAATTATATACGTAATAAGAGAGTAGCAATATATATATATCTATATATTTGAATAAAAAAAATCCAAAAATTATGAGTATATTAGATTTAGGTTGCGTTTTGTTTATAAAAACAATCAAATAAAAATTTTTATATTAATGCTTTTATGTTTTATATTTGGTTTTTTAAAAGTTACTTAAACTTGTTTGATTAGTTTAAATTTTTTTTATTTTATCATATGAATAAACAGCAGGTTCTTAAGATAGCCTGTTATGTAAGGTGTTTTTATATTTTCCTTTAAGAATGAGCACCCGAGTATTCGTTGGTGGATTAACATACCGGGTGAGAGAGCGCGACCTTGAGAAGTTCTTCCGGAAATATGGTAGAATCAAGGAGGTCGCTATGAAGAATGGATTTGCCTTTGTGGTAAGTCTAATGTGGTTTAATTGTTTTTTTTACAGTATGGTAGGGACAAGGGTCTATGTCGGTGGACTTCCATATGGAACCAGGGAAAGAGACCTTGAGCGATTTTTCAGAGGCTACGGTCGTTTCCGCGATGTTCTCATCAAGAATGGTTATGGCTTTGTTGTAAGTACTTGTATTCAGCTGTAAACTCTATAACACTTTGCATTACTCATTTTGGTCTTGTAACACTGTTGGTCTTCTAAAATTGTTTGGCAATTTTCTGATTAATATAAATTTGCATTTTGAGATTTTTGAGCACATTTTTTTTGTAGAAAAACAAAAAAAAATTGTTTTCTTTGTTTTTTTTTCATAATTACTTTATAGGTACTTTTGAAAATGTTTTTATATTGTACGAACAGTTGCTGTTAAAGTTTTTTATTTTTATATCTTATGTTACTGCGCTTCATATTGCAACATTTTTTGCATTGATAGTTTTTTTTTATTATTACAATTTGGACCAAACTGAGTAGAATGCATTGTGTTAAATTACAAATGCAACGATAACCTGAGTTGACCTGGCCTGAGCCCTGAACAATTTGGCTGTACTGTGGCTGTTTAGAGGAGCTGTGTGCTGCTTATCATCGATTATTCTGCAAAAGCTTTGTAAGTTATGTACAATTAGGGAAAGAGAGAGCTGTTTATTGCAGGGCTGTTTTAGAAAAAAAACTATTATATATCTCTTAACAAGTTATAATATCATACTTATAATTAATTATACAAGTATCTATATTAATTCTATCTTTTCTTGCACTTTGCAGTATTATCTGCCAATAAACCAATTAGGCATATATTAAGTTAAATAATTATTACCTTATTTTAAAATTTTGCAGGACACAATTGAAGAAAAAAGCTCTAAAATTGTTTCATAATAATTTACACATATTAAATAATTTATAATATGTTATGTACATGATTTACATTTTGTGAATAATTCAATTTATATTTACGTGTATACAAATCTATTGTAATATATTCGTAGAACAATAATGCATGCAAGTAATAATGAAATAACAGTTTATTTGCAATATATTTTTAATTACAACTCAAAAATGTTTTTTTTGTCACAGGAGTTTGATGACTATCGAGATGCCGATGACGCCGTGTACGAATTAAACGGAAAAGAGCTTTTAGGAGAAAGGTAATGCAAATCTTTTACTTATTTGTATGAACATGTAATTAAGTAATAATATATACATTAGGCGGAATGGTATAGGTGGCATGTTTGCATGTAACTAAATATAGTTTCTTTTACAATCCATTTAATATGTGGATTGTTATTATGTTAATATCTCAACTTTATTGTCATCATTATAATATTATCGGTACTGGGGATAGATTTCTTCTAGTTATAGACATAAATAATATATTTATTTATTTTTTTTTTTTTTTTAAAGAATTGTAATTTAAATTATTTATTAAAATTATAAATATTGGTCTAAAATATATAAATACGTGTAATTTCTTTCTTTGATCTTTTTAAGATTTAAAACACAATAAGTACTACATTTTATCCGTGATGTTTTTTAGATTTTTTTTTATTATTGCTGAAAGTAGCGAGCTAATTTCTAATACATTATTCTCAAGCGTGATATGATATTTGAGCAGAACTTTGTTTACCTTGAGCAAACATATTTTGTGTCTCGTTTAACTTTAAATTGCTTTTAGCTCAAGATTAGATTTAGACACAAGAAAAGCAATAGCATTGAAATAAACGGGGAAGTTGTCTTATTCTCACATACGTATAAATTTCTATCAATAATTTGCTTTAGACAAGTGGCAAAATATATATTCTATATGCTTGTTTCTTTTTTGTTTGGTGCCTTATGTAAATATATTAATGATACTAGAGCTTTTTGTCAACATGTAATTTTAATAATGATAAAGCTGAAATATGCGCGCGCGTGTGTGCGTGTGTGTGTACATATACATACATATATATATATATTTTTCAATTGCTTTTTCTTTACTTGTACGAGTAATATTATTGCTTTCTATTTGATTAAGATCATATATAATGCACAATTATCTGTTGGCATTAAGCAGACATTCCGTTATTGCTTTTGAGTTTGATTTTAGTAAAACACGGCGTCTGTCCTCCAAATTAATAATTAGACTTTTATTATGATAAAAGTAAAAAAAAAAAATGCGTTTTTAAAAGCGTTTCAACTTACCGCCATTTTGAACTACTTCCATCAACTCCCCGAGTAGAAAATGATTGTCGAAAGACATATAATGCGTCAACGTCTGAAGAAAAAAAAATGTTATATCGCTTCTTTTCTACGAAAGGGCATTTCACATTTTGTGCTTTTTCATGATTTTATTCTATGATCCTGTTTATGTTTTCGCGTCTTGTATACTCTATAATAATTAAGAAAAAGAAAATTTCTAGTTTCTTATGGATTAAAGATTTAATCATGAAAAAGCTGATGGACGTGGTGAAAGAGAATAAATTTGGTGATAAGTAGCGTTGTAAAGAAAGTCAACTTAGACTTAGGGAACAACAGAAAGTCTATAAGAAAGAGCGCGAACGAGTGAGAGAGAAAAAGAGAGAGAGAGAAAGAGAGTGTGTATGTGTGTGTGTGTGAGAGAGAGAGGGAGAGAGAAAGGGGACAGCGCCCTCAGACGAGACTGGACGCTAGGAATACTGAGAGAGATAGAGCGAGAAGCGAAATATTTGAGCGGATTTCGGGGAAAGAAGGCTGAGAAAAATGGAAGGAAAAGAGGAAGGAGGAAGAGAAGGAAGCATCTTTAGAGACTAAGAATTAGTCGTGGACTTAGGCGGGGTTTTGTTGGGTGTGTTTCAGAGTGGCGGTGGAGATAGCACGGGGTGTTTCAGGGAGGCGAGGCGACCGTGGCTACGGACGCTCACGCTCCTGGAGAGACAAGTAAGCATATCCAATGTGTCTTGTTACAGAATTACTGTAGAGAGGGCCCGGGGGACACCTAGGGGTAGTGACCAGTGGCGCTATGGTGACTCCCGTGGTGGTTATGGGGACTCGAGGCGATCTGCGTAAGACACGCTATCCTTTTTTTTATTTTTATCAGAGAGCGATCATTATCCCCTCCTCCCCTGCAGGCAATCGACTCGAAATGTGCGAAATCCGAACTGATTGATAACGCTTTACCTATTTCTTTTTCGAATTTTGATCGTTTCTCTGTTTATACACGTTTATATTCTCCTTTTGGTTTATTTATTTATTTATTTCATTTCATTTTATTTTATTTTTTTTTAATTTTTTTTCCATCTCGTTATTACACCTCCGGGTCAGTCAATTTTAAATCGCGTGATTGATTTCGCACATTGTCCGCACAGGGAAGAACGTAATCTTGGATATTGATAAGCTCTACTTTAGAGAGCGTAGTTAACGAGAAATGAGAATCGCGTTGCAAGCTTCTCTTGCTTTCGCGTGTATACAAAAAAAAAAAAAAAAAGAAAAAAAATTCATTAGACAACAAGAAAAGAAAATCTTATCTTCTTAATTGGTTGTCTTGGATTTGACTGCTCTCCCGAGTACGTCGAATTTTTTCAAAGTTCTCGCCGCGTTTTTTTTTTTTCGGAGAAAAGTGATAGCACAAAGTAAAACGCCTAGTGATACCCTCCCAAACATTTATTGTTTATTGCTGGTAGTTGAAAGACAAAGAGTGAAGCTGATGTAATTGGCGACTAATAGATGTGTCGTATTGTGTTTGTTACAGCCGAGACGATATGCGGCACGACAGGTACGCTATTGCTGCATTTTGAATAGATTTGATTCGATTGGAACAGGTGATTGATTGTGTGCCTGAGCAATGAGTGCAGATCTGTAGTTATTTGCTGAAGGTTTTACCGACGATCCGTTATTTCTGTTCACATGACATCCCTTTTTGCAGAGATAGTGTGAACAGAAACACGAGGACTGCATCTAGCTACAAGCAATCATTGCCCAGGTACATACATCCAATGTTACGCTCTAACGATTTACAAACTTTTAAACTTTAAATACACAAACTTTGTTGTTGCAAGTAAAAAAAAAAAATTTTTCAATTTATATCAATTCTTGCGTTTTCAATACCAATATTTTTATTCGCTATATATTAACGTAAAGTCAGGTCCAAGACAAACCTGCTTGCTCTAGAGATATACATGTGGATAATAGCCGGATTTTTTCCTATTGTAGATATGGTCCACCGACACGCACCGAGTATCGTCTCACCGTGGAGAATCTGTCCAGTCGTGTCAGTTGGCAGGTAAGCAGCGTCTGTATTTTGTCTGTAATTGCATTTCTTTCTCTTGCAATTTTTTTATACTTTCGGTGTCTTCGTTAGTTTGATCAGTGCTTGAGATACCGGAGAAAAAACGTTGCACCTCTTTCTTATAGGTTTTTCCGAATTTTATAATATTGCTGAATGTCCAACTTTTTCTTTTTTTTAATCGAATTTTTCCACAGTCGTTTATGTGCATCAAAAATTTCGCGCCGGATAGCATTTTTTTATTTTTATTCTGTGCTCTGTCGTCTTTTACTTTCATTTGTTTACGAAAAAAAAGCCTATTTTTGGAAAAAAAAAAATCAAAAAGATGTAAGATTTTGATCAAGTAAGTCTGTGGCAAATGTTAAAGTCCAATTTTTACAATAAATGAGTTAGTCTCTGTAAAACTAAAAAGGAGAAACTGAAAGAGATTACGTATAAAAACAACAGAGATTTTCGAATTAGCGTGAGAGATGGAAAACGCACACTATATATCCAGTAAAATGAGGACATAGGCATCATACACGTGAGAAAAACTCCGATCAATCTTCCAACCCGCACAACCAGAGGTGAGAAACAAACAGACGACAACCAACAACAACTGGATGAAGAGGCTCAACGGATGCCATGGACAAAGAGAAAGGCGTAAAGCTTCAATACCAACCAACGGAATATGGAGTAGATACAGATACGATGCAAACATGTGGGAACATACCAGGACACAAGTAAACACTTCTGAGCTGAGAACCAGTCGGAGAAAGCTTCAAAACAATTTTATATTTATAACCAACGATTTGAGAAAAATGCAGAAATACTACCTTGCATACATATATGAAACCAAGTCTTACTTGATCAATTTACATTGCGTATATATTCTTGTATAATCTATATCTATCGTTGCACTTTCCCGATGATTGGTTGTTGCAAATATTTGACGAAAATATATATATATATATATATATATGTATGTGTGTGCGTGTGTGTGTATATGTATGTATGTATGTGTATGTATATATGTATATATATATATATATATTCTCTCACACTCAAGTCGAGTCTTGATTGTTCGACGATTTACTTTTTCAATTTATTATTTCATTTACGTTCTCTCCCGGTCAGCAGTTTTGAGAAAAAACAAAATAAAATTGATGTTCTTTCCGAAGAGCCATGTCCTCTTCGCCGAGGAGGGGCCGACCGGTAGGGCCAATAGAGAGACTGATGATGTGCGATGATAGAGATGACGATGCACGCGATGGGCCCGCCTTGAGGTCAAGTGGCACCAGGTTGGTTTCTGAGGTGTCCCGATGTGACAGAGAGAGCCGCGCGGCACTGGGGTGTACATCTACCATCACCTATCTACCGCCATGCTCTGCTACTCGCGCGCAAGCGATATGTGGTGAAAGATCCCAGTAATAGGGTTATTGCGATACTCCGATCCTTCATCGTGTAATTGCTGAAGAAAAACCGAGAGAGAGAGAGAGAGAAAGAGAGGGAGAGAGAGAGTGAGAGTGAGAGAGAGAGAGAGAGAGAAAAAGAGATTCAACTGCCGCTCTTCTACTTTAATCGTCTGGGAAACATTTGTTTACGTAAAAACAACTTCCACCAACCAAATACATTACCACACATCGATATAGTCATATGTCATCACTACTACAACCTTCACCCATCACCACCATTATCATCATAACCACTCCGTCTGTTCACTATCACTCTATTCATTATTATCACATCTACCATTCTACCGTGTGTGACTTTGTCATTGCTATTGGTACGCCATGCAACCTAAGCCATCTAGTAAGTCAGGCAGCGGCCACACCCATGAGGGCATACGCGGACCGAAACGAACCCGAACCATCCGCGACTACGCCACACAGATCCGTTCGACCCGACCGAGCGTCTCTGGCCTTTCTCTCTGTCCGTAAGCAAGGTGGTGCTTGGGCCCAAGGTAAATGCGTCACCTTAACCGAGTGTACTATTAGATATACACAATATATATCTATTATAAATTATATACACTTAAAAAAAAAAAAACGTGTCTTGTTCACATATGTATATTATACATTATATACATCACATAATATGTATGCCTATATTACCTATCTAATTATTTCATATTACTGTGCACCATAGCTCAGACGTTGCGTATGTCGTTGAGATGTTTTACGATGCTCGCAACAAAACTCGGAGATAAGGAATCATCATATAATAAAATTTCTGTGCTCGAAATTAGACATCTTCAACTTGATTCTAAAGGTTTAAGTTCTTGCATATCTTGTCACACTTCGAGTCGCTTGTCATTCATTATGGGAAATGCATTTCCGTCTCGCGCCTACGCGCCTCCGATCAGAGCTTTACACGTTTAAGAACAATGAGATCAACTTTTCTTTATGCAAAGCAATTGTGTATATCATTACGCTGTCTTTTAGCTGTAACACGCGCGAGAAACGATATTTCAGAAAACAAATTTGTACATCACAGCAAGAACGAATCTACAAAAATGGTACAGGAGCATTTTTCTTTTTTTGCTTTTTTTCCACAACGTGGGAGCAATCGGAGATCCTGAGAGACGTCGAGCATCGAATTTTTAGAAAGGAGATCCTGGAGCAGACATTCGTATTCTTTACTGTGTTAATGGTTGGAATACACAAGCATCTACCCCACTGAATATTTTCGCAACACTAAAGTCGGTCCTGGTTCCCACAAACAGAAATAGAGTGAGAAAGAGAGACACACACAAACACAGAGAGATAGAATGACACAAGGACATTTTCCAGTGAAATAAATGAACGTAATGGACCTAGACGATATCCATCTTATTCTCGCTTGATTATACCTCTTACAAAAAATGAATGTGAAGTGCTCTAAGAGTATTCAAACATAATGCAGAAGAGACAACATAGACAAGATAGAAAAGAAGAACAAAGAAGGAAATATCGCAACCACGTAAACATCGAAAAGGAAAAGACCAACGAAAAGAAATCAGAACGGAAGAGCTTTGGGTGCTCTGGATTTAATTTCTAGCAACAAGTTGACATAATTTTTAATTTCTCTTTTTGCTTTAATCAAACTTTTTTTTTTACGTTTTCAAATCTTATTTTGTTTATGCAAAATCTTACGGATAATTTTTGACAAATTCATTTTTTTCTCAAAACTTACTACGTAATGCGCACCTAAAACTTTTAATGTTTTCTTTATAATAATTTTTGTATAACATTTTTTTATATATTTCTAGTTTGTACAGTTTTATTTTTGTCTAAAGATTTTTTACGGCTTAAATAAGTAATTTATTAGAAAGCTTTAAGAACCATTTGTTGTTTTTTTTTGTACGAACCAATATTTTCAGCAAATATGTTTGCGATGTCAAATAAGTTTTTATTTATTATTTGTAATTGAAATTGTGAGCCGTTCTGCGGAAAGACAAACTTTATATTTTGAAATGTTTTTGTAACAAACAAACGTTACCATTCTGCAGAACGGAGGTGCATATAAACGTTTGTAGCTGTTCTGTTTCAAAAAATTGAATTGCATAAAAAGAAAGGTTGCATCGGATCGCAGATACTAAATTCGAGCACGTTTGTAACATCAACACTGAAGACTTGGGCAGATCTAGATAGTGCTCTGATATGCTCGCTCTCTTTTTTTAGTAGAATAAACTTGTAGATCACCTTTCAGCGGTAAGAGATCTCGAAATAGAATTAATTTATAAACGTATGAGTGCACAGGATATATTTTAACCTGCGCGATACATCAGACTTAGGAACACAGTGTAGTAAATTTCCATATGTAACTACTAATTCTAAATTTATCCGCGTATATAATTTGTGCAATTTTAACGTGTCAAATGTTAATTATGGATCTTGTGTAATGTTCAGGATCTGAAGGATTACATGAGACAAGCTGGTGAAGTTACATATGCTGACGCCCATAAGCAACGTAGAAACGAAGGGTAAGTAAAAAAAAAAACCATCTCGATTATACATTTAATAAAATTTAAAACTTTTAAATCTTTTATATTATTTTTAAACGATGAAAATTTTTTGAATGATCTTGCAGAGTTGTTGAATTTGCTACATATTCCGATTTGAAGAATGCTATCGATAAGTTGGATGATACAGAATTGAATGGCCGTAGAATACGGCTAATCGAAGACAAGAGACGTGGTCGGCGCTCACGATCATCAAGCTCGAGATCACGATCGCGATCTCGATCAAGATCACGTCGACGATCACGCTCTCGTTCAAGGTATAATCGTCGTTCTCGATCCCGATCAAGGTACTGTCGGGGCGACGTTTTACGTCACCTATTATTTCTATTATGATTTATCCTTTATCAGACATACTTGTGTTTATTCCAGTTTTTTTTTTTTGCAATCTGTATACACAAAACTGACTAACTTGTTTATTTTTTTAAAATTGTTTATTTTTGTTTGTTTATTTTTTGTTTAAATATCAAAGTTGGTTTTTGTCAAATTTATTTTATTTTATTTTGTATAAATCTAATTGTTCGTTTCTTTTTATTTATTTATTTATTTTTTTTTTTGATTATACAACAAAGCCGAAGTTTTGTCTCTCGCGTGTTGTCGCAAAACTTATCGCGTAACAAGATAGTTTTGTGACTGTAGCAAATCTCAGTTGAAAAAAACATTTAAATATGTCCTGTTTTTTTTTTTTTTTTGTAACATAGAAGTCGTCGTAGCTCTCGCAGTCGCAGCCGACGTAGCAGTCGTTCCAAATCAAGAGCGCATTCAAAGTCCAAGTCCAAGTCTAAATCCAAATCTCCCGAACGCAGTCGCTCACGTTCTAAATCCAAGTAAGTGTCTTATCTAGAAAAGAACGTTAGATTATTTTTTTTATGTCACACTAGTCTCTTTATCACAGTTTAGTCGTTTGTTTTGTTCATGACTATGTTGGTATGTTTGTTTCATTTGTTTTATTTTTTTCTTGCGCAGTTGTCGAGCGTCACAGTCACAGTCAGTACACTCATTCCCATTTATTATTGGCATTGTTTTTGGGCTGGCTACGTGCCTTGAGCTCTCAACGCTTTAAATCACGCTTTTAAACACGCGTTGTCTCACTTGTTCACTGCCGCGCCGCGTGTTTTTGAAAAGCAATAGAAAAAAAAAAAAAAAAAAAAAAATCGTGTTTCTTTGTATTTTGTACTTTCTTTGTACTTTCTTTGTAGTTTTCGTCCCCCTTTCATTTTTTAAAACTATAATTTTGCAGATCAAGAGACCGCTCAAAGTCGAAATCTAAGTCAAAGTCCAAATCCAGATCTCGTTCTAGGTCCAAGGCTGAGAGGTCAAAGTCCAGGTCGCAGTCCAAATCCAAAGCCAAGTCTCCCTCAAAGTGAGTCCTTTCTCGCTTTTGACTGTTTCTCTAAGTGTCGATGTAATTTGCGCAAGAAAAGCAAAAACGAGACCTCTCTTCGGTGTGACAACGCGATTCAATTTCCGATGTCGTTTTTTTTGTTGTTTTAGAGATAGATCGAGCCGCGAACGCTCTCGTGGCGACCGATCCAGATCCCGATCAGGAAGCAAACACAGCAAGAGCCGGAGTCGTTCTCGCTCACCTATGAACGGCGACAAATCTCCAGAAAGCAGCAAGCAGAAAGCTGACTGAGAAAGCTGAACTGTGGGAGCAGTGATGAAGAAACAAACCTCTATCTTTTTTTTTTCTTTTAATATTGGATCAGATTTAAACCGTCATGGGTTGCGATTTTTGATCGTTAATTGTAACAAACAAATAAAAATTATACGTTAAGTCTATACACATATTACACGCTATACAAAAGTCTTATCACCTTTAAAAAACTTTGGAATATTTTAAGTACCACCGCTTACTTTTAACGATCACACTATATATTTAACTATAGAGTCAATGATTGTTTTCTTTTCATTGAAACTATGGCTGCCAGTTTTGATCGTAATCTTTTCTTTTGTATTTTCTCTTTTTTTTTTTTTTTTTTTTTTTTTAACGATAATACACATCCGACATAAAACTCGCATTTAGACGAATCGAACATCTCGGTGTATCGTATTAAACATACGAATTTCCTCGAACAGGTTTTTGTATATATTCCTAAGTGATTACATTACAATGGGACATGTGATGTGTATCAAATCTTAGTAGTAAGAAACATCTTATTGTCAATAAACTTCATGTCAAGGCACACTGACATGTTGTGTTTATGTCCAAGCTGTTTCCTCAACTCTTCAAATCTTATAATTTTTCCGTGACCGTCCACCGTGACGTTTCCCACCTGAAGACTTCATATATGCGTTAACTAACTGTAACTATTATATAAAGATCAAAGACGTAATTGAAATATATCAGTTTGACCTGGAATAAGAAAAATTACTCCCGATAGTGTTTGAAGTCTGGTATTCACATATCTTATATTTGAGATTCGTCTTGAGTTTATCTTCAGATGATGTACAAATATATAGTTTTATCGGCTGCGGAACATCTGAAGATAAACTTGAGTTGAATCTTAAATCTAAGATTCGATTACGAATACCGGCCCGAGAGTTTAATTTTTTGTCTACGATCAAACTCTATTTTTTCTTTCTATCCTCTACTCCAACAGTTCTCGCGTATAAGTTTTTTATGCATATGTGAAATCACATAGTTTTGGCGTGCGTGGATTAGCGTGCGAGTCAGTGGAGAGGAGTAAAACAAGCACGATTATAGGAACAGTAGATGAACTGAAAAAGTCATTGTTGATGAGAAGATAAAAGAAATGTGTAATAACGTTCAGCACAATTGGAGGAAATTGGCAAAAAGTAGAGAAACTCTCTCTCGATTTGTATTAGATTTTATATTTGCTTGACCTTATGATTTTAAAGTTTTAAATAGTATATTTATTAATATACATATCAAGTAAAAAAATAGACATCTGCGGTTTTCTAATAAATTGTTCGACATAATTAGAACTGATTGATACAATCAGGTGCTCTCCTCGGAAGCAGAGTGCTCGCTCTTGTATCAAAAGCGCGTTGATATTGTCCTTATTCTACATAAAACAAAATTGATTCTTTTTGTACGCATTCATAGCTAATTAAGCATTTGTCTTATAGAAAAAAATTATAAAGCAGTTTATTTTTCTCTACAAATTTTTTGGCTTGCGGATTTATTAAGATTCCATGCACAATCTGATGTGCCACTGAGCGAATTATACGACGCGCAGTTGGGTCTGTTCTGTATAAGACCCGAATGACTCATTGGCGTGTATCAACCTTTTGATATGTCTGTTCCTCTCCCTCTGTGTCGCCACAAAAATAGACTTCGTGTAAAGCAAGTTATTCAGACGGAGACTAAAGAAAAACAAGAGGACAGAAGACGTCGTGATACCAAGAGGAAGAGTCTCGGTCATTAAATGTCTAACGGTACCGATCGAAATCGAGTGTGAATATATATCTGGTCGTTGAGGGTGAATTTAGTGATCACACACCCTTTGCCACGACGGAGAATCAAGAAAATTTATTAAAAGTATTGCGGAAAGAGGAATGAATTAATCGGGTTTGGGAAAGAGAGAACGAACTCTGAGCGTTGATTGGTCTTCTCTCGGGAACAGTGGGGGCCTAAAACCAGAAACGCGATGACGCGTCAGAGACTCGTACAGAGCCGTAGATTTAACTACGACCACGTTTCCCCTTCATATCGTTTGAACAAAATAAATCAAGTAATAGAAATAAAATTCAAAAAAACTCTCTTAATATACTATAATTTTTTTTTTAACATTACATTAAATTATTTCTTTCACTGATGATATTTTAACATTATTTCTAGAACGTATTCAATGTGAGAAACAACGATGTGGATACAAAGGGTCAGAGCTCTCCGTTTCGTGCCGATCCTGGCGGAGGGGAAGGCTGGTTGTCCTGAGAGAGGAGACCAGAAGGAGGGAGGACGAGTGACGGGCAGCCGAGCGCCGGCCGGGCGCTGCTGTTACCTGGAGTTCCCGGTGTTACATGCTGTGGAAGTGCCAACCGATTAGTCAGTGTTCCGTTGTGATTCCGTCTTGTTGCTATCCTTAAGTAACGCTCGTCTCCTACGCTCTGTCCGACCAGGTGCCCCTGGCTAGCTAGCTTAGAGTCAAGCTCACACGTCAACTTGACAGGTCAGTGCACTTCTACTACCGGCTATAAACGAGTTATTATAAGTCGTTGTGACATCATTTGTTTCCCCGTGGTGCCCATACTGGCAAATTAATTAACGACAAATCATTAAGAATATAATCGAAGTGACGAGCATATCGCAAATTTCTTGAAACAGAAATATTCTGTGAAGAAGAATTTTTTCAATGTCTCTCTTGAGAGAGAGAGAATTCTTTGCGTTTCTCTTGGCGCTCGTTCAGTTATATCTTTGAACAGATTACAGAAGTGACAAATACTTTCCTTTCGTTTTGTTTTTTTTCTCTCGTCGATTCACAAAAGAGTGAAAAAGAACTTGGTTTTTTAACTTCAAATCGATCCAAGAATCTGCCGTTCGGTGATGAGACAACGCGGAGCAACTTTGTACATTAACGATTTATTTCGTTGTCAAAACGAAACAAAAAAAAAAAAAATGATATCGGCAAACAGCCGGCTTTCTTCTCGTCGTTACGTTCCACTGTGATTCGATCGCGAGTCGCGAAAAAAAGAACTAACGAGAGTAATTTCTATTAAAAACAGTAGCTGTTTCGTTCGAGCTTTGACATTGTAAAAAAGCTATCATAAATTTAATATTGATTTTCCGATATGCGTTGCAACTTTCGATACGTTTGACATGTGCGTTCAATTTATCGCAACGTGTTTCTCATAAAAATCTTGTCAGGAATTATTGCGTCGAGGTTTTTGAGCTTTGTTTTTAACGGAAACATGCTGAATATTTGATTCGCGACGACGACGACGACGACGGTAACGAGACACGAATTTTTATGTTTGCGGCATGATGAATCAAAATCGATCTTGTAGAAAATATTTTCTGAAAAATATTCTGTATTGACAAGTGACGGAAACGCGACCTTGAAACAGAGATCTCACGATGTATTTTTCTCAGTATATGTAAAATTTTTAGCTAACGTGTACATGTGTTTGTTATCGCCGGGCCGGGCCTGTGCATCTAGATATCGATCGGCCTTTCGACGCAATCGAAAATGGACCCAGGGGTGTGGTCGAAAAGCGTCTCTCCAGAGGACAGAAACAACATGATTTCTTCCGTCTCGATTATCGCGCGATGGCTTTAGATAAACGTTCCTCGTGGAATATGACGGACACAGTCTCGAACGAAACGCCGAAGAAGGATTCACCGTTTCAATGATTATTCCGCGCAGGGATTAATGCTACCTGTTTATTATGTAATATATAATATTTTGCTGTACACGTACACACACACACACACACACTTCTGTCTTTCTCTCTCTCTTTCTCTCTCTGTGTGTGTGTATGCGTGCGTGCGTGCGTGTGCGTGGGCAGTACGTATTAATATATTAGATTTTCGTTACAAAACGCGACGACAAACTATAATTGTAATTCCCGCAATAAGTTCACGAATGCGAATTTTTTATTGTTTGTGTTTTGCGCGCATCCCTTGTATTGTGTATATTATTGCAATTATAATACGCACACTTGAGAGAATCGATAAGATTTAATAAATACTAATTAATGAGACCGCGGACTTAATGAATAGACTAAACAAAAGTTTCGCATGAAATTGAGATTTTTTTTTTTTAACGCTCGGGTACGCGATCGAGAACTAAATTTTGTATTCTCGTGCGTTTTGTTCTAGAAAGAAAAACAAAAAAAACCAGTCATATTAATCGCATTGTTTCTCGTCGTATGATGCAGATCATTTTTAATCGTGAAAAAAATTTGTTATCTTCTTTGTTCTTCGTGTGTAGAACGAGCAAGAATGGTAGAATGGGATAGGGCGTGGTTTTGACAGATGAACTCACGACGACGACGGCGCGTACGAAGCGCGCATACACATATGCATTTTTCTCCACTCGATTTCTGAATTCCATGGTTTTTTGCACACACTGGCGCGCCGCGTGTTTCTTCGCGCGTGCAGCACAATCTCACTGAAATAAAGTTCAATTAACTTGATTTTATTGTAAAAAAAAAAAAAACTAAAAGGATCGGACAGGCCGAAAATTGTTAGATAGACGTAAAATAGATAAGATTAAAATCAGTTTTTTGTTCTTTTTAATGTTTTGAGTGTTTGATTTTTTTTTTAAGACTGAAAACACTGTTTATAAAAAATTTATATTAGTTTTTCTTTGTATCTTGCGACGTCTTCCCAATTTTTAAAACTAGTGATTTGGTATCTGAGATAGACGGAGGGAATTTGACTTCTCTTAATGCCGTACAAATATTAATGCAAATATTGATTTATAAAATACAACGTTGTTCAACGCATGGGCGTCCGCAGGGGGGCGGGGCAAACCCGGCATTTTGCCCTCCCCTGGAGAGGCAAGTTTTTTCACACAAATTGTTTTTTTATCTTGAAACAAGGTCGAAATCCTTGATTAACAAATAAAAAATCATATACATCTATTTGTGAAGACTCGCTGTACAGTGAAACTTTCTGTGAAATTCATAATTTTTGGGACGGAAAAATTGCTCTGCCCCTCCCTGAAAAAAAATCCTGCGGACGTCCATCATGGTTCAACATATTGGATATAATATTTCTATTCGACGTCGCTTGAAGAGCCAAACGTTGTTTTCTCGTTCGTATGATTGATTGAAAATGCAGATACGATCAAGGTTGGTGTACGCAGGTGCTACCTACGCAGGTGAATGCAAAATGCAAAATGGGGGGAAAAAGTAACGGTATCTTTGTGGCAAAACGTTCAACTTAAACTGCAAAAGATTTGGCATTTTCTATCTGCAAACTAAGAATTGTTTATGTTCTACTGTACTTTCTGTATGTTAAAGTCGTAGAAAAATTCTGAAAAAATTTATGTGGTATATTTTTTTTACTTCTACTTTACAGATCAATCAAAACATTTTGGAAAAAAAGTAATTTGTAAAAAAATAATCTTCATATAAACGAAGTAACTCGAGTGAAAATGTAGTGTTTCGTTTAAAAAATCGCAACTTTCCAAGAAATTGACCTAATTAAAAAAAAGTGCTTAAATTGAAGATAAAGATTGCAGCTTTTATAAAACAATTATGTGCTATTGCATTTTATTAAATTTAAACGCTTAATTTTTTAACATGAAAAACGCGTTTTTTTACATTAGTGAATGCTGGCGTTTTTGAAGTAAAAATTTAAGTTTTTTTATTTTAAACATTTTATTATTCAAAATAATGGTAATAATAAACCATAACAAAGTAGTCAATCTGTTCTTACGGTCGAAGCATCCGAGTTACCTCGTTGGAAAAGCTCTGCTCCATTTTGAAACTCATAAAAAGAAATTTTTGATTAAAAATATCGCAATTTAAATTGAGCAAAGTTACGTGAAAATTAGATAAAAAACAATAAAAAATGTTATTTACTTGTAAGAAAAGTATACGTAGTCTGCAAATCATTATCGTTCATGTCCGCTCGCGTCTTATCACTATGGCTGTCTCGAAATTATACTAGAGAATTGAAATTTAGCCGTTATGTGTTCCTCTCCTATGTAAATTTTTATACAGGGTCGGACTCTTCTCCCTTCCCTCTGTAAGTTATAAACGCAAGTAAATTTTGCGCGGACACGAGAGTTCGTAAGAGTTAATTTTCTTTTTTTTAAATACTTCGTATTTTTTTCGGACAACAATGTGTTTGCGTTACAAGTGTCTATTTTGTGTTTTAGACATTTCGAGAGAGAATCGTCGCCTGCGTTTTATCATCTCCCGCGCGACCGTTTTGAGACAAACCGCAGGGACACACTTCTTCGTGTCAACCGGGGAATCTTCGCTGTCGCAAATCGCGTATACGCGCGTTAAGGTACACGCAGCAATCGCGTTTTACTCGGCGATTAGCATCGGAGTACTTTCTGTTTCCCACGACAGTGTGATGTTACTAGGCGAACACGCACTACTACTCATATCTTCTGTGCTGCTTGCCGTCGCTTGACGTCGGTTTGACCGCCACGTTAGCCGTATGAGAATCGCGCGACACGTATAACGGACGACCTTGTTTTTCCTTTGAGATCCCGATTTAAAACCCTTTGAAAAAGAAAAGAAACTCGAAAACAATAAGATATTATTATTATTCGTATTTTTATCAAGCAATCATCTCTCTCGGTTGTCGTCGTCGTCGTCTTAAAAAAAAACGCGTCTCAAGACCTTTCCACGTCAGTGTAAAAAAAAAAAAAAAGAAACCGCCCTCTCTCTTATCCATGACCGTGAAAACCTACGCGTGGGATACGCGATATATAGCAACGCGAAGTTCATGAACCCGGGCTCGGGGATTCTCCAGGGCGATGCCGGCAATGCCAATCGATGAAACTGTCTACCGTGGCTGCTCCGTCGTGCGCCGTCTCCGCACTCCCCCTGGGTAACTTCGAAACCCCCACGTTGCGTCTGTGCGTGTTTGTGTAGATTTTGTGTTTACAAGCGCGCTAGCCATTCATACGTTGTACGAATAGAAGCGCGTTTAATAACGTGCGTGTCTAATAAACGCGTTACTATTAAAGAAAAGACTCCGCTCTCCTTTCTGACGTTGAAATCTGAAGTTTTATTATAAAACAGTTGCGCAAACACGACGCGGATATACTTGACCGAAATGGCGTCGAGGGTTCGGAGATTTAAATTTTCGCCGGCGGTTTAAAAAAATCATTACTGATTCACGATAATGAATTTTATTTTGCGGTTAATTGACGGGTCAAATACATAGATAAAAAAAAATGACTCTGTCGAATATATGCGCTACTTCGCGCATTCTTGATAGTCACTGTTGGATGTTACTTCTCGATACGTCGAGGTATTCGGTGACTCGGCACCGAATTATGTTTATCAACGTTGCTTAGAGTTTTCAACAACGACGCCTCTAATTGACGTCTTTATGAAACGACGAACTGGAGATCTATCGAAGCAAAATTTAATTAGAAAATTATTAAAAATTTTTCACAAGTTTATTTCTTAAAACAATTTAGTTGGATTTGTATGATAGTTATTTCCAATATTCTTTCAATCGCGTTCGATTGTCTCACATAATTCGAGAACAATCGAGTTCGAGTTTTTCTACTTGGACGGATATCGAGTTGCTAACGAATTTGGTATTTTACGTGTGTGTACAGTTCGTATCTATGTGTACGTCCCTGGCCAGTGTACGCGTCACCGCTCGATACGATACGCGCATCCAGGGTTCGTTAGCCGTCACGGTCGCACGGAAAAGAAGAGAAAGAAAGAAGAGAGAGAGAGAGAGAAGGAAAGAAGGAGAGAAAGAGAGAGAGAGAGAGAGAGCGCAGTTGCAGCTTGCGTGCGAGTGCGACGATTGCGCTGGTGAAACGTTTTTCTAGAACACGAATATAGGCAACGATTCACGTGGACACGATGAACGCGTAGGTGCCTTCACCGTTGTCTGCCGTTGCTTGCTGCGGTTCGCCGGTCGATACAGAGACTGTGACGATGCACGTGTAGACGCGTGGCGAGAAAGAAAGACAAAGAGAGAGAGAGAGAGGAGCCTTGTCATTAAACGCGATTGTCCAAGTTAATAATTGACGGCCGCGCGAGCTTGTTAAGCTCTAGTGCGGTCTCGTTCCGTAAACCGCACATCTACGACAACGCGTCGTCGCGGAAGACTTAGAGACCGCGATGTTCATATTTCAGATCTTATATTCATAAGATTGCCTCAAGGCAATTCGTCTTTTGATATTCCAAAGCCAACGAAAAACGATTCGTACGATATATCTTAATCTTTCAAGGCCACAGATCTCAAAAATGACCTACGAGTTGGCGGGAAATTAATTATCTCCGCAAAAAAATTAATATTTTTTTGATTTCTTCGTAAAAGTATATTTGTTTGAAACGTCGCGATTTCTTTCAAAAATTCAGAAATAACAATCAAGACAGTTTGTCTTGTGCGCGCGAACGCACACACATACGCGCACACATTACACCACACTGCTCATACATACGCAGATATCATGTGATATATATGATATTTGAAAAAAAGCTCATTTTAAATATGAAAAAAAATATTAATATTCTCTCTCTCGCGTGTAAGTTGACTGGAACTACTTGAACAATTTTCTCACCAAAGAAAATGATAGAAATCGCGCCTCAGGCGGTTCTTTCATTACTCGAGTGGCGCATTAGCGCACTAATGTGAAATATCACTTCGGTGCCTAATCTATCTCGATGACTCGCCACTGTCAGTTAAGTTCTGTCAGTATATCTCGGGAGGACAACCTAGTTTCCTTATTAGCTTCTTGTCTCGCTTTTCTCCTTGCGAAGAGATTGAACGCCGAAGTTTCACCGAGCGTCGTTGTCGTCGAGCTCGTCGTCACTCGTCTCATTAAATTCTGCTTTTGCATGATAAACCTAATAAGGAGTTTATCAATCAGTAGTTCATTCGGTTATATTACAAATATGTATGTCTACGGATATTATAATCTACGGATATTCAATTAAACAGAGAAAACTAAAAGATCGTCGTTATATGGCACCTTTTGCGTGGCTGAGAAACAGAGTCGTAATTTTCTTGCCTATCTCGAATAATTGTACAACGTCGAAAAAAAAAAACGATACCGGAGTAAATTTTAATTAATATAAGATAGAGTAACACAGGAAATATTTATTGTATTATTATAAGGCTATTTGACTTTGTATTTTAATTTAATTTTTTTTTTTCGTATATTATAAATTTTAAAGAGATTAATTTATACGAAATTTGACGCAAGAGTAATTGTAAGAGTTTTCATACTGTACTGTGTATTGTAAGACAAAAAAAAGATAAAGATATGAGACTGTATATTTATTATTAAACAAAATATATAAATGTTTGTTTCAAATTGAGGCCGACAAATTGCAAGTGCGATTTAAAAGTTTATTGATATTTATTCGCGTAATTTGACAAACAGTAACAATTTTTAAATGTCTTGTGTGTGTAATCTTCTTTGACTCTTTTTCTCGAGCAGGATTAATTACTTTTTCGCGATTTTGCACATCGATAGATGAACAAAAACACGTTTGTCGTAATATGTTTTGATGCAACGACAATTATGTTTTATCCAGCTCGTGCTTTACCATGGTCGCGGCCAATTTGAGATCCCGTCATCGTCTCCGTACCGTTATATGCACTTGAGTACGCAAGCCTTGTATGCATATACACACGCACGCATACACGCGCGCGCGCGCGCGCGCACACAAACTACGTACGTACATATACACACGCTTTGTACACGCCTACACAGAGCCGTACAAAAAAAAAAAAAAGAAAATTTCAGCAAAGTGGAGACCTAAGGACGCGAGTAAGCTCCCGCTGTTTCGTTGCGTATATTCGACCTCTTTCGAACTCTCCCTATACAGGCATATACGACCGGCTACTATATAAGGACCTATTCACAGAGTCTTGCCGATGCTGCCCACTACTGTTTGAACATATCTCTCTCTCTCGCGATTCCAGGACCGTATATCGCGCGTTCGAAACTCGGAGACTCTTTGAACAATAAAAAAAATATTATCTCTTTTATTTAATCTAGTCGAGATATATAAGATTCTCCGTTTCGTACAAGTTGTGTCTTCTGTTCTTATGTGTATACACATTCAACTACGTACAATTAAACGTGAAATTGAAATTATAACAGAAGAATTAAATAATAGAGAATTTATAAATGTTTTCTCAAGAATACTTAAACAATTTTTATTGTGCCGCGGGACATCGTCTTTCTCTTTTCTTTTTCACGAGGTTGATTTCAGTGAGAAACAATTGTAGCAAAAGAAAGTTGTTGTTGTTCGAAATCGATGATCTTGCATCGTGTCACACATTGTAACACACATGCGATACTGATAGCGCAATATTCATCGTTTCTCTGTGATTTCATCTACATGGAATGCAGACCTTTTCGTCTCTCTTTTATTTGCTTACTCGCAAGTTTTTTATATTAGCAACTGAACCGTGTCATTATTTGTTTTTCGATGAACTTTCATTTCAGCAACAATACACCACGCAAAAGAATTGCATATATTCTCAATTGAAAATAACTTAGTATTATTTTTTTTTTAATAATAATTGAAGATATATATTTTTGATACTACAATAAATACAAATTTTGCAGAATTTTGATTCAATCAGGTTGTTAGAAGTGTGCGTACAAAAAGAATCGATTTCATTGTGAAACGTAGAACAATTTAAAAAAAAAAAAAACTATGTAGGAGTTAAACGTTGATCAATTACTAATCGCCCACGTATGTACGATAATTAGAACTGCGTTCTTTTTTTTAACTCGTTGTGTCGGATAAAGTCTGCTTGAGTGCGAACAAAACCGACGTAAATGTCGGACACGGGTTAGAAGAAAGGGGGTGAGTAAGAAGAATGAGTCATTGACAATTTAGCATATAAACGCTTTGCGTGTATTGGATTTGATATATATATAAAATATGTATACACGTATAGACGTGTATAAGCGTGACACACACGAACACACAACTATGCCGACGGTTTCGTGCCACTGTCTAATTAATTTGTTGAGCAAAGCCGGGCACAATCTGTGTTGCCCGTTGTTCGATTTTTTTACTCCGTACAGAGAATTTGTTTATTACTTGATTACTCCAAAGCAAACGCGTAAATATTTAAATAATTTGCACGCCATATTGATAATAATTATATATCGCTCGTGTCGAAGGATAGATACGCATAGAAATATTTTTTCACTACACCACAATTTAAATACCGATAAAATTTTATGTCGATAAAATCGCCGTGTTTTGTAGAAGAGTATGTATGTACACACACACACACACACACACGTATGTGTGTATATTAAAAGGAAATGGAGACCGGAAGTTAAACCACTGCTGTTTCCGCTGTCTGACACATAATAAATTCGCTTGTTAGTTTTTGCAGAGAGATAAATCAGTTTCTTTACTTAATTAATTCTTACTTTTTTTTGTAAATCTCCGTATTATCCTCTGTTTCTGTTAAAATTTATAATTCCTCTTTTTAAAAAATTTTTTCTCACATTTTTTTAAAGTTATAAAATGTTTTACTGTTCTTACACAAATAATTAAATGTGTTACAAAAAAAGTTTGTTTTTGAGATTTTAGAAGATATGAGTTTCTTCGAGATTGGAAAGAAATCTAGATTATATATATAAAATTAAAAAAATTCCAAGAGACATTTGTGGTTCAAAATTATTGGATTTGCAAAATTTCTATATATCGCGCGTTTGACATCAAACATTTCAAACAGCACAACTCGCGAATACAATCTCGTATGCATTTTGCTGCAGTTGATACGCAGTTCCGACATTACATGTCGATAGCTTCGTTAGCATTCACACTCGTCGCTGTTGTCTACGCTGCGTGATTCAACAAAGAAACGAACACTTCGCTGACAATTGAAAATACAATCGTTGTCTCGCCAGTATACTTTTGTTAACCGATACTGCGTTTTGTTCTTTTCATTTATCGTACTGCAAACCGATTTTGCATGTATAATAACATGTGTGAGATATTGCACATTCCGATGCCCTCTTATCTTCTGAAAAACTAAATTGATCAGCTGTACGCGCAGAGACAGCTTATCAATGTATATATTATTATTTTTTGAGAAAACACATTGTCACATATATCACAAAAATATCTTCTATTGTTATATGAATTTAAGAATTGTGTGAAATTTCAATTCAAAAACTCACGTGTAAGATTTACACGTGAACACGTGTATGTATATATATACACGCATTTTCCGCACAACATCCAGCAAACGGCTCTCATGTGACCGTATATATGTACATATACTTCTGTTATTATATATATAGAGAAATATATCTTTTATTATTATATAGAAAAAAAAGTGAGATACACGTTTGTTGAGAAATAAAAGACAGTTATTATACTGATGAGTTAATTATTATAATATCGATATATCAATTGGCCTTTAATATATGTAAGATTAATATGTGTACTTCAAACGATAACCTAATCTTTTAATCTCAAAATTTGTAAGACTTTTTAAGTAAACACTTTTTAAAATTATTATATATTTGTATATTTTATATTTATATATTTTTAGTATATATTTAAAAAAAAGGATATTATATACATATGTGCTATTACTGATGACTGACTAATAATTAATGCTAAATAATTGTAATTCTTTAGATTAAGAAGTTCAAGACTGAACTATGTCGAGTCCGTCATTGAAGGACCTGCCTAAAGTAGCCCTGGACCTCAAAAGCGAGCTGGAAGGTTTCAATCATGGCTGTATGAAAAAAGCCGCTACTGCCGAAAAGAATGTTCTACCTTCCGCTGAAGGTAATCAAAAAGTCTCACAAAAGTATATTTTAATATATAATAATTTATGAGAGAGTATATTTTTTTTAAATAAGTAATAAGTACATTTTAATAATTAATAAGTAGACTTTATAGTATATAATAGTATTAACGTCGTTATACGTATTAATGTGTGTGTTTGGCTTCTATTTGTTTGATCATATTACGTTTACGTGTGTTAATTTGTTTTACTACATTTATTTTTATAAATAATTAAAAATAAATATTTGGTGTAAAACTATAAATATCTTTCGTATGATTTGTTGCACGAATTTTTATTAAAATTTGATTCCACATCCAATATATAATGTCTATATCTTTTATTAAACATACATGACTCTATATACGCAAATTTTGATTTCAATAAAATACTTCCAATATATGCACGCGCGCATGTTTGTGTGTGTGTGTGTGTGTGTGTTTGCTCGCTTTTCTTCCTCTCTGTGCGCAGTAAGATTCTCTTCTTGATTTCAACGCAGTATAATTAAAACGAGTACATAAAAAAAAAAAAAAGAAAAGTAACAAAAGTACTGTAAAATAAGTCAAATTTTTTTACAAACAGAGAAAGGTATTAAATTATTAAAAACGTTTGAAACATCAATATTATAATTTATTATTTTTATCACAAACGCATTAGACGAAACAAATACGCGATATCTTCTGGATTACTTCTATCAAAGTTTGACGGGTAAGCAATCGTGTCATCTCTTTGTAAAAAAAAAAGCGATTAAGCGAAGTTTCGCAGGCGCAGGGCTCCAATTAAAAAAAAATAGAACCGCAGTTGCAATAAAAATGTTTGACTTGGTGTAGACGTGCGGCAGGAGCGACAGCATTCAGAGTTGATACATGGATTGGAAACGTTTAAGACAGATCAGTTGAAGCACGCTAACACGAAAGAGAAGAATGTGTTACCCAATGCCACAGGTATAGTTAGTTAAAATGTGGGAAATCTCTTTAAAGCAACTGGGAGCACAGGAAGCTGTTAACAAATTTTTCACCGCGCTTATTCATGTTACGCTTACGCAGAAGATGTCTCTTTTCAAAAAAGCTTGGTTTTGACGGAAGAATTATTCTGGTGATGGTATTTTTGGTACTTTTTTTTAAATAAATAATATCTTGTTGTTTTGTTGTTCTACTTGACATTAGAAAACAAAATAATTCGCTTTATTTCTGATTCACGATTTCGTTTATGTAAAATATTTGTTTTTTTTTTGTCTTTTAATTCGATTGAATCTATTTACAGATGTTGCCGCGGAGAAAACTCAACAAACGTTAATTGCCGGCATCGAAAAGTTTGATACCGCAAGTCTGAAGCATACTGAAACTCAGGAAAAAAACCCGTTGCCCGATAAAGACGGTACTATAACATAGAAAAAAAAAACTTATATTTTATAAATTAATAAAGAATTTTTTCATCATAAACTGACACAAAATTTTATCATGTTTTTCGCAGCAATCCAGCAAGAAAAAGGGAAACAACAGCTAATCTCCGGTATTGAAAACTTCGATCCGGCAAAATTGAAACATGCGGAAACCCTCGAAAAGAATTCTCTGCCTACCAAAGAAGGTTCGTACTATCAGTCGTTGCTATCAATTTTTGTTCTCTTGTGAAAAAATGTATATAAAATTTCTTTAAAGAGTTAAACCATCCCCCCTTGAGACAGTCCTAAAATGATAGTATTTAATGAAGTATTTAATTTACTAAAATATTTAATTTGTAATAAATATTTATTTACACGCAGGCTTATACGTAAATAAAATTTCCTTATCGTATGCGGTGTGCTGGTATTTGTTTTTCAGTGATTGATGCCGAAAAAATAGCCGCTTAGAGGAGTTGCCGCTTGAAAAAGAAATGAAAAGAAACTAGGAAAGGCACGACTCCGTCGCTTCTTCCATTTTTCTATATTTGTAACAACAGTTTATAACTATTATTCGTACATTGCCAAGGATATAAAAAAAAAAAAAAAAAAAAAAACAAGCGCGAATAAGAAGCACTGTGTTAGTTGTACTGATTATTACTTATTCTTATCGCCGTTTATGGTTTTTCTTTCGGCGAGATCGGGAAAAGAACTCGGATTTGAAAAAATGTCGAAAATGTCCAAATCAATTAAGTGTTACGGCCGATGACGATGCTGCCGCGGCTTAATGACAATTCGATAACGCTGAGAATAAGAATGAATCTAAATACTAAATAAAGCTTTTCTTATCTTGCTGAAAGCTTTTAACGCGCTCTACTGGCCGTGCTATATCAATCGCAAGAAGCATACGTGGAAGTGATTAATCTTGGCATTGGTCAGCCAAGTGATCAACATGATTGATCAATTCCACACGATACTTGCGTGACTTGCGTTTGCGTCTTGCGATTAAATGTAGAACGACATTTGCATCTATCTTTGCGAAGTTCGTGGCAAAATTATCACAATTGTAAAAAACAGTAGCTCAAATCTGGCTATTCAAATAGAAACTGTGATTGAAAAAAATAGATCAATCTAATATGTATATCAAAAACTCTGATATGTCAAAATTTACACTTTGTGATCAGAAGATCAGAAGATCTACCTAACACAAAACCACGGAATCGTCATCTCGCTGAAGGATAGGTGTTTTTTTTTTTTTTTTTTTTTTATATATAGAGAAAACTGCATAAGCGTGTATTTGTTATCTTCGACGTAACAGACAAAATTGTCAGTAGCACTTGCATAATGCGTTATAAACGGCAAAAACACATATACAATACACAGTCAATCTTATATTTATGTAAAAATATCCATATTTTATATAAACAGGCTCTTTGTACACTTTTTTAATATTTCGTACACATCGCATTGTCATTCTGATGAAAATCTTACAAGAAATAAAAAAAAATAATAATTTGTACAAATGCTTATCAGTCTACCTTTTCTTTTTTTCTATTTAGCTTTAACCCTTAAGTGTCAATATGGGTCTCCCAGACCCACCCAAAAGCTTTAAACTAATGTCTTCACTGGCAGAAAGAAGACTGCAGGGGAGGGAGACAAATTCCTCTACTTTTCATGGCGACGGAGCTTTACTTCGGTAGTCCTCGTGCCAGACGGCAGCACAATCGATTTCTTCCTCTCTCCTCTCTTGTTAAGAAGTGCGTTATCTGATATCGGCCGTAAAGCCCGTTCTGCATTGATCGCAAGCTCAAACGCAAGATATAGGTCTCGTAGAATTGACCAATCACGCTGGTCAATTGGCTGATTTGATCAATACGATTAGTTCAATTCTATCAGATCTGTTCCTTTTGCGTTTGAGCTTGCGATCAATGTAGAACAGGCTTAAAGAGCCTTCTTACAATGAGATATTAGTAATAAATCAGAAGCAAGAAATTGACCAATCACAGTCAAATCACAGAAGAATAATCGATTGGTGATTAGTCAATTTCTTGCTTCTGACTTCCGATTTGTTACTAATATCTTATTGTAGAAGGGCCCTTTGAGAGCAACCACGGTCATAAGACCTGGTTTATGCGAGCCTAAGATTTTAATATTTCTGTTTATTAACAGAAGTATAACAGAATATAACAAAAGCATTGAAATCCTATAGTTGAACTGTACCAATTCCGGCATAAATTAACAGTTATTACCCGCATAAACAAGGCCAAAACAAGGCCTTATTTGCCCGCATAAACCAGGCCTTACACGCATTAAAATGCTCTTCTCAAATTGGACGCAGCATAAAAAATTTTGTTCAAGAATTTGAATTCATCTTCGACCAATTTTAATGGACAGGCCTTTAGAAGTTATCTCACTATTTTTAATTAATTGGGCGATTATTCCGTTGAAATAAATTTTTTGATCAATAGATATTTGTTGTTTGGAAAAAATTGAACAAAGATTTAACCAATCACGGTTTAAATCGGCCGATTTGCTCAATCAAAAATAATGAAATCGGCTTATAATTGGTTGGATTATTCTGTTGAACAATAATGAACATGAAGACATTGATTGCTTCAGATTAATCAGATTAATCTAATCAGTGATCGTGAAGAACTGCGCAACACGTTAACACCCGTTCTCTCTATCTTAACTTAATCGGCCGATTATTCCATTGGAATTGCCAGTCGCGTTATTTGTTTAACAGAATTGACCAATCACGACTGATACTTAATTGCCGATTAAGTTAATCGGAGACGACGAGGTGAGAAAACGGGCGTGAGGGTGTGCAATAATAAACAATTTTCTCCTTCTTTTGTCACATAACGCAGACCTTATATAGGAGCAATCCTCTCTTTGGCATATACATAATTTACTTTAATAAAAAAATAAAAAAATAAAAATTTTCCCCCTCTTCCGTGATCGCAGCTTTATATGCATATTATGTGTCGATGGAACTCGAAGAGTCTCAGTTCGAAGGTCATTTCTTGTAGGTACGCGCACAACCTTTGGTGAACGGGGAAGAAGGTTCCAGAAATTTTGCGGTTATATATATATATAATATATCAGTTGAACGTTGTTGTCGGTAAGTGATCGCGTTGTTTCAATTTATTCGATTGTGATCGTTCGAAACGAAGGTGTCCCCAAGATTTTTCACTTCTGCGCGACGGTATTGACGACACCTGAAATCAACAATCGCGAAGTTTATCCTTTTGAGAAAAAAAACACGCCACACACGGTGAGTAAAGAGAAAGATTGGATTATTTCTGTTTTTTGTGCGCTTTTACTCGATCCGGGATTTGAATATCACAACCGTGAGACGGGATGTGATCGGATATTTGTGTATGATCTTGATTAAGTTTGTGTTTATGATTTAATTTAATGAGAATTCGCGTCGTATATACATAGGATTCGTGAATAGTATCCATTGCGTGAAGTTGAGCGAAGTAAACGAGTGGAATAAGAAAAAGGTTATATATAGAGAGAAATGAAAAGACTGATGTGATTGTGTATTTTCGCACACACACGGTATATTTCAAATGTTTTGTTTTGTGATTTTAGCTGTGTCTTATTGGTGTCGCGCGCTTTGCATCTCCGACGTCTTGCTTTGCACAATATCAGAGTGAAGCCCTTGCACAACGGACGGAATAGCGATAGCGATGGAATTAATACCAGTTGTAAAGAGTTTTATATTTATAAATAACAATAGGAACAGCGGAATCTAACATACACGTGTATCAATGCGGATCAGAAAATCAGAACAAGCGATAAAATGTCCGACGAGTTGGAATTCTGTCTAAAACTGTTATTTCTATCGCTATCGCTGCTGTTCCTTCCCATTGTGCAAGGGTCTTGACCCACCGCAGTTGTTACTGCGAAAACCTAAAAACATAAAACTGTCGTTAGGTTTGTCGACGTCGATTTTTTGATATCACTTTGTTTCACCACCGGCGATCAAGTAGGACGATTATCAGTCGTTTTTTTTAAGATACTTCTATGTAACATGCGTGTGTGTACACACGTGGATCTACATGCGGAGCATATCGTATAAATAATGAACATTAAAATCTCCGACCAAACAAAATACCGCTTTTTAGAATCAATTTCGTGTATATATCTTGATAGAACTCTGGTTTGTAAGATTTAGTTCGTCTCGTCCGATCGGTTCGAATCTTGAGCATGCGCTTTTAAAAGCATAAGTTTGAACACGACATAACCTCACCGTTGTCACGAAACTCGTTTTACATCAAGCACAAACGCGAGTCTCAGATCTTATGGGATTGACCAATCACGTTGGTCGATTTGGCTGATTTGACCATGCGATTAGTCTCGATTCAACCAGACTTGTTATTTGTTATGGCCCTGTTCGGTTTATTACTGGGTTACGTTCCAAAATCCTATCTTGGTAACCAAAAACTATAGCACACGTGACGTGAAATATAGCATTTTAATAACCAAGGTAGAATTTTGGAACGTAACCCTGGCAGTACTGAAAAATCTATAGTATACGTGATGAATCTATAGATTTTCAGTACTGCCAGTAAAAAACGAACGCAGCCTGTCTTGCGCTTAAAAGGCCGTCCACAATGGGAGTAGGCGGTAAGAAGTAAGGTTCTCGAAGTTATTTCATTTTTGTCTATACAAGTCAACCCTGGCTAGTACGGTGCCGACCTGAAGCCCAAATGTTACGGTGCAGACAATATAGTAGCCTCTCTCTCGCGCAAGGTCCAGCTGCTTTGTGCGCATGCGGTGACATTGGGTGCGTTCAGACAATCAACAGTTGCACAACGATTGAGAGATAATCACTTCTGATTGGATCATACTTTTGGAACCGCAGCAGTTTTGAAGAATAGTCCTATCATAAGTGATGATCTCTCAACCGTTGAGTTGTCTAAACGCACCCATTGATATCAACCGTTGTGCAACTGTTGAGTTGTCTTAACGCACTCTACGTTCTAAGCTCTCGTGTGAAGATATATTAGTTTACATATATGTAATAAGGCGCTGTGATATCTATCGAAACACGACAAACACGTGTTGAAAGTGCGTAAACAAAAGGAAAATTCGTCAGTAAGTAATCTTTATAACAATCTTATTTGTACAATAATTTCTAATTTGTTTTTAATATTACTTTGGCTTCTTTCTTGAAATCAATGTGTATATAAAAAATATATTATATTTTTATGAACATTCGTTAATTAAAACTGGACTCGACTCGAAATAATCGCCTGTGCCTGTGGTTTTGTTCACTGAATTATTTATTTCATCTTCTTGATATTGTTCGTATGTTGATCATATAAAGACAACATAATTGACTTCAGTTGTTGTGTTGCAACACAGTGTCACCAGTGTGAGTGAGACACACTGATATTGCTCTTTCTCAAACTAGTGGTGGACATAATGTTGCCTGTGTACGTAGCTGAAAAGCACCTTGTATATATATAAGTTACACTTGAAACACCATCCGATGATTTCTGCTCATCTTGTCCGGCTCATCTTCTCGGCAAGATAATTTCTTCAACGAAATATCATTTTTGATTGAATTTCTTCAACGAAATATTTTTGATCGCCTGTATACGTAGATGAAAAGCACCTTGTATATATAATTTACACTTGAAACATCCATCTGATGATTTCTGCTCATCTTGTCCGACTCATCTTCCCGGCAAGATAATTTCTTCAACGAAATATCATTTTTGATTGAACGTCCTGTGGCTTCGTCACTATTTTTCATTATTGTATAATAGTCCTTTAAAATAAATCCGTATTGTTTTATATTAAAATAAATTATTAAACAAAAATTATAATTTAGAAAGCGGTTTCTTCCTAAGATTGATGACCGTGATATATTGATATAAAAGTGTTTCGAGTACGTATTGGCAAAAATGTAATGTAACGTGTCACATAATGTTGACGTCACGTTAAACAAACTATAACTTATTGAAAAGTTTTCAAAACAAATAAATAAATAACCAAGAAAATGTCAGAATGTTCCGTTATTATTTTGTAAACTGTTACGATTTTTAGTAGGAAGAACACAATACCATAGACAATAGAAAAGAGAATTCTAATTTCTCTTCGCAAATAAAAATGATTGATTAAGAATCTATAATATTATATCTCTTTCGTAAAATAGTCTGTACAATATTGTCGATAAAAAGGAAATAAATAAATTTTCGTCGTTTACAATAGGAAAAGAAAACAATAACACACATCGGCAACAATTTTTCGCTTAAAAGTGCAAAGAATATATGAGTTGAGACTTGAGAAAAATATTTGTTAGAAAACAAAAATGTGAAAAATTTTTTCAGCTAAATTACACATTCGAATTTTTTTTTAACAGTACTGAAAAAAAAAAAAAACCGCACATGATATCGGAAACAATGTCGAGGACAAAGGTGGAGCCTGTAGATCAGTGGCTGGCGAAAGAAGGATATTTCCGCAAAGCTACTCCCAGAGATCCCAACTGTTTGTTCAGATCAATTAGCGAACAAATATATCACACTCAGCATTATCACTTAAAAGTTAGAAAAGAATGTATCGAGCACATGGAAAAGAAAAGAAGTTTGTTCGAAAATGTAAGTAGATGTGTATCGTATGTAATAATGTTATCTGTTCTCGCGTATCGGTCAAATATACTGCAAATATTGTTTTTTTTGTTTTTTTTTCAAGTTCATAGCAACACCGTTTGATTATTATATAAGAGAAATGCAATGTTTTACGGAATATGGAGGCCTCAATGAGATTCATGCTATGTCACTTCGCTATGAGCGAGACATAATTGTGTTCGTTGGAGAGAAACAAACGTGCGAAAACGTGACCAAATATGGTTTTAAAGCATCTAATATATTGCTCTGTCATACAGAACCGAAACAATACGAGCCTGTGTATCCCATGGCTTTTATAGAATCGGCAGCTTATTGTCAATGTAAGTTGTCAATAAAATAAAGTTTTTCCTCTCATTGCAATTTATAAAGAATGCAATCTTTATCTTTCTTTTAATTAGCTATTGTTTACGAAGTTCTTTATAAAAATTTATTTAAAATGTACGACGTGAAGGCTGTTGCCGACAAAATGTTAAATAACGGAAGCGATGCGTTCAGACATGACAAATTTTTTCAAAAAGGAAATCTTGACATTAGAGAGTAAGTTACTTAATTGTTTTTTTTAAACAGTTGTATCTTTAAATGCAGCAAGAAAATTATTGATACTCGTATATACTAATATTAATTTGTTTACAGGCAATTGATTGAAGATCTGTATAAAAAAGTAAAAAGTAACACCGGGGACGAAATTCAGTCTGATCAAAATAAAAAAGTGGCTAGACAAGTGAACAGTAATGATATAGGTGAAATTCAGTCTGACTGGAAGAGGACACCTATTCCTTACAAAGTTGCCAAAGCTCTGGCAACTGATCATTATCGCAATATAGAGTTAGATATATGGCACGAATTGAAACGAGGTGTGTATATATACACAATTATACTCATAACATAATAAACTTATATGCGCATACGTAATATATTAATTATAAAAATAAGCTTTAAAAGGAAGAATAAAGTACAAAATATAAATTTTCTCGCAGAAGTAAAATCTGCCGGATGGAACCGATTTGGTAATAGTGTGCTGCAAGAGGGTGGTAAATGTTTAATAGAAATCAGCATAAACGATCTAGAACGGCAAGAAAAAAACAACAATAAGACCATCAACACTATTTCGGATTCTAACGCTAGCGAGAGTGGCGTTAAAACTGATCAGAAATTGAAACAAGGAAATCTTTGGCTCCAAGGTTATATACAAAAAATGAGCACAAATAAGGAGCCGGTTCTGGTTTTTATTCAAGATCTTGGAGAAAGAAAATATGTTCCATACGATGCTCTAAAACCATTACCGAGGAAACCTAAACAACAAAAAAATTGGTTTCCGATGAATAGAAATCATTCGGTCGCTCCAGATCTAAGTTAGTATTCATTATTAATACTTAATTTTTTAATACATTTTTATTACAACTAAATAATATAACTAATACTATAATCTTTTTTATATACATATTAGATCGACGATGGAAGAAGTATAATTTATTCCCACGTAAGAAAAAACCAAATGACAACAAAATCGCGTATATCAATACTATCAATATTGATAACAATGATGCAAATAATGCAAGCAAATCCAGCTTTGACAGTGAAGAACACATCGGTGAACTTCCGTACGTATTTTCTGTAAAAAATAGTTTGTGTTTGACTTTAGCAAATAAAATTTACATATACAAGATAAAATTATTAACAATTATTATAATTTGACTTATCTGATTATAGTGAAGATCATCAAACAACACAATTGAATTCGAATAACTCTATTGAAGAGTGCTCTACTCATATGGAACTTACAACAAATGTAAGTAAAATTTAAATATTTCGTATTTTTAAACTCAGGAGAGAAAAACACGTTTCCCTTATTTACGATTTCTTTGTAGGAACATATCAGTAGTTCGCCTACTGAAGTTATATTAAATTCGCAGCTTACACTATCAAATACTGTAGAGAAAAAAGTACTGGAAGAACATAAAAAAAGAAGCAACAATTCTTTGCGAAATAAAATCGAAAAATCTGGCAATAATAATGGCTTTGGCAAAAGTTTTAAAAATACCAACACGAAAACAAAAGCATTGGAAGCGAATCATTGTTTATCTTACGGTAATTTCAATAATTTTTTAGAAACTTTTTAACTATACATATATTATTCAAAAAAATATACAAGGTATCCATTAATTGACGTACCATTGCTCGTTGGGAAGGGGTTATACTTAATAGAAAAGTCCTAGATCATGTTGCAAGATTTTCAATAATTAATGAGATGTTAATTAATAAAGATCCGCGAATGAGCCGTATATATATATTTTTTTAAAAATATATATATATATAGTATATATATATTTTTTTAAAAATATATATATATTTTTTAAAATATATATATATATTTTTAAATATGTATATATATATTTTTTTAAATATATGTATATATATTTTTAAAATATATTATTAACACATTTGCGGTCGGCGATTTTAGAGCAAGACCGCTATCTAAACGCTGACAATTTTTAAATTTCTATAGCTCAAGGCCGCAGGGTCTGCTATTTAAATTAATAGTACAAAATATTGCTTCATCATATTATACACTTATATGCTTATTATTAAACAAACACAGATTTTAAAATGACACGTAGGACTGCGTCACCGGCCGCGAGTGTGTTAATGTACTTATCTCTCTTTGAACTCTTGCTTTTTATATTAAAAACAAAAACTGAACATATAAAAATTACGAGATACTGATTTAATTATATAATTTTGTTTAGATAATGTTCAAATACCTATGAATGGCAATCCGAACGTTCCTTATGTCGCCCCGGATGGCAATGTGTATCCCTTGTATCAATATGTGTCAGGAAAAATTGAGGAAAATCAAATGGATCGTATGTGTTAAATTAATAAATATCTTGATTGTATTAGAAGTGTATATAGCTATGTAAATTAATTTTACTAACGTTTTACATTTTTATTTGCGATATCATCAGCATCATGTTAATCATGTTCATTTGCGAAAATATTTTTTTACGTTTCTTTTTAGCTTCGTTTCAGCATGCGTGGTATAAATTATATCCAGTACAAATGTATGAGGTACGCATGATCTAACAAATAAGAAAATGTATTATCGATATATTAAATTTATTTCATCAGAAGGTTTAAGGTGCTCTCTTAATTCTGATGAAGTAAATCGAAAATAAAATGTCAGTGAAAATGACACAAAAGCGGCTCTAATCCAAAATCTGTGTACAAAGAGTAAGACGATCATGTTTATTTTTTTTTTTTTAGGAACCTTATCGTTCAATGAATTCACCTTACTGCGGACCATTACCGTACACTCCTGCTCAAAATGGCGTACAATCTCTTCCCGCACCAAATATTCAAACCAGTAATTTTAAAGCTTACATATAATACATTAACAAAAATGTCTAAATATTACTTAGCACTTATTTGAATAATTTTGTTAACTATATTAATAATTTATATTCTGCAGATCCGCCATACATGCAAGACGAAAAACATCTTGTTAACGCGATGCAGAATTGTTCTTTGACGTGCAATGAAGGAAGAGATACTGATGTTGAAAATGTTTTGCCTTTGAACATAAATGGTGCACAAAACGGCGCAAGATTACAAAATCAAGGACCAAAAAATGCAAATGAAGTAGCACAATTTCCACAAAAAGGAAAACAAACCGTAAATAATAAAGGTAATAACAAAACAATTCTTATACAAACTATTTAAATTCTTATTAAACAAAAATAAAGCTTTACATTATCAGAATATCAGAAGATATAAAATTAAATTAAAATCAACCTAATCTAAAAAGCTAAAAACATTTACTCTGAAGTATGTAAAAATTTGAGATGAAAAAACTTCACGCTTAGTTTGGGATCGATCGGTTATTTGATCGTTTCGATCAATTTATTTTGATCATTCTCAGACAAAAACTTGAATAAATAATCTAATATATTCATGGCTGCACGTCAACCGTCAAAAAAAACTAATTATGTGTTTGTTTTTTGTAATCGTGACTGTAATCATGACTGTCAGCAATTTGTCAGCGATAAGAGTCGATATTATGATTCTTTTGGTCACTCTTGTCGTAATCTAAATTTTATTTCTATTTCTTTTGGTCAATCATCCTGAGCAGTTGAAACAAATTTAGAGCTTATCTCACAAATACATTTTTACCTGGTCCTTATTCAAATTGAAATGTGCTCCGGTTACGAACTCAACTTCTTATCGAGGTAGTAATGTAGTACATATATTAACATACACTAATACATTAATATTGTTTTGTTTTGCATCTATATATATATATATATATCTTTATTATCCATATTTACAATAATAATCTTTAAATATTGTGGCATATAAGGAACGTAGACAGAAAAATAAGAAAAAGTTCAAAGCGAATAATGTCTATAAAGCGCTGAAGTAACTTAGCTTTCACTCTGTGAGATATATATATCTATATCTAGTTTTTCAATTTCGAACTTTACTATTCTTGTATTAAAAGCAAAAGAAAGAACATATATATATA